GGTTGCACACGTGTGTGCAGTATAGTAAATATAAAAATGCCTCGTAATTTTTTAGTTTAATACAATTTTTAAATAATAATAATAATAACAATACACACTTAATTATATGTACATATATACTAACTAAACATATGTTATTTGTCAACATGATGGTGTGATGTTGAAACTCGAATGACGAACAATCGTACTACGATTATAACAATATATTGTAATAAATTACGGAAATGTGAAATGTAATAACTAATAACCGAGCCAGCTAATCGGGACTCGGGAGTGTGTACCTTACACTATATGCAATAACGACAATTTGGAATTAAATATGGGTACCGGTCTTAATTTATTTGAAACACAAGATCCATTTAAAGTGCTGCTCACCGGCCACCGCGCACATTAATATAAAGATATTTTTTTTTAATCTCGTCACGTAAAATGTCCCATACTTTTGTCTGTTACGACAGCTACGTTTTAAAATTAGAATGAATACCACCGACGTGCGCCCGGGTACTTGAGTCTCCTCAGGTGCAACGTATTTTAGTACAGTATTTTAGCTGGGCTACTTTATTCGGGTCCATCTGTTGCGGGTATTCCGGGTCCACACGTGAGAGATTATGCGACACGTAATACGCATATGCGTCTTATAACATAACTGGGAAAATTTATCGCCTCCGTATCATTTAGCCTTAACTGGTTCGAGTTCGACCGCACACATGCGTTTATAAAATACCGTGTGAAACAATGCGGGCTCATAACAGTGATGTTTTCTTCAATTTTTGAACACGTAGTTAGGTAGGTAGTAGAGAGAAGAGGCATATCCAGTGGTGTATTAAGAGGTATACGGCGTGTACTCGCTTCTCTAGGTTTTTTTATTTAGCGTATACTTGTTAAAAATACCGTGATACGCGGGTATACGGCAGTATAGTCCTGTACACATAAACATATACACAAATATTCAATATTAATACTCAATTTTCAAATGTAATTTAGTATGGGAGCGATTATCAAAAAATATTTTGAGAACCCATGACCAAAGCCAATATATCTATAAATAAAATTCGTTAACACGATAAACCACTAAAATCCCCAATATTTTATTTCTATTTTAAGTTTTCTATTCTTGTTTCTTAAAATATCAATAATCTGATAAACAAGTTTATATTCTATACCCATTATACATATTGAGTAGTATACATTTGTGTTATACTGCGCAGTAAAACACTTTTTTTATTCTGATACCGGCAATACACCCGCCACTCACCACCTGGAAACACTGTGAAGTAATATGCAGTAAAACGCCATCAAATTGTAGATTTGACTTCTTTTCAGATCCCAAATTTGGCTTCTTTTTATTTTTGGTTTTTAATTCAATTATAGTTTTTAATTTCGTTTAGAACAAGATTTTTTCAGTTGGATTTTTTTACAGTTAATATTTTATATTTTATATTTTCCATATTTATGTTTTTTTCTGCAAAACGTCGCTAGAACGAGCATGAATTGAGCCTCTTTTCAGATATTGAACTCGGGTTCTATTAGTTTTATTAAGATGTTTAATTATTTTCTTTTTCTTCTAGTCTGTGGACACGTTTTTTCCTAGTAAATTTGCTCCGATTTTTATGTGTAGGAACTTTTCTGAAATCTCAAGTTGTCTATATTGTATTTAAAAGGTCATTTTTTAATTTTTGACGCAATTTTTTTAAACAAAAGTACTTAAGTGGGAAAAAATGTAAGAAAACTTACAATTTCACGATTTCATTATTTTATAAAAACACCAACGTTTTTTAACAGAAAAAATGATTAAATCAAAAAATTACAGTTTACATTTTTTGTTACCTTTTTAATTTACTTTCTTATGGTATTATTTTCAAAACTTTTGAGCTTTAAAGGAATTTTAATTTTTGGGAGTTTTTTGCTCTAATTCGGTTATCAAGACAGGAAGAGACTTGAAACTCAGTAATAATACTTATAATGGACTGACCTAGACGTGGTAAAATTTCCAAAATTATCGGAAATCATAAAACAAATTACGGCATGTCAAATTATGTATTACCGAACTGCGCTCGGAATCGTCTTTCGGCAAGCGATGGTTTATCGTTACTTACAGATATAAATGAAACAACCTAATGTATCATACCTTCCCAACTTCTCATCTACAATAGATTATCTCAGATATTAATTTAAAAATTAAACAATTTCATATTATTTATATTTTTTCTCAAATTTAATTTTTACCTAACCTTACTTTACAAAATGTTTAATATTGTTTTCTATCGTCAGTTAAATCATCGATCGCTACGATATTTTACATGTCATTAGGATATGCGTAAATATAAAGAAGCGATAATTCAACAGTCATGATCTGTTCGTTTAAGGACACAAGAACTAAAAAAATTCTATTGAAAATACTGTATAGACTATCTATGATAGTTATATTTTTATATTATTAATTTTGTTGATAAAAATATTGTAAAATAATTTTATAATTATATGGCTTTAGTTAAATATTTAATATTTTACTTTTGAGATAAATAAACACACTCATTTAAATCATATCAAGTGATTATAAATTAAATTATTTTCCAACAATATTTATTATTTTATATTAATTATATCACGGGTATAATAAAAATTGATTATAACTTATAATTATTATTTACTCTAAATCAGATTTCAAAGAATTTTATACGCTCAGTTTACACATGTTTAGTGATTAAGCCGTATTATTATTAGGCTACGTTAAATTTTGTTTAATTGTGATCTTGACTGTTTCACGTTTTACTAAAATGTTTGATATTTTAAAATTAATGAAATCTATACGATTTATTTATTACAATTCTATTATTTTAGAACTTATAGAAGCTTAATCATTGTAAAACATTTTTCCGTATAAAAATCGTAAAAAGTGTCGTGAAGGTTCTCTCATTAGATCGTGGAAATCTCATCATCTCATTTGATTTAGGTTCCGGTTTATAATAATATCCTCTTCTCCGCGCTATCTGTAATTCGTGCGATCCGGCTGTATCTCTGAATTTAACGATGATACGAGCTCGCTGTCATTGCGTATACTCTTATTTACAAAACGATACATTAATGTTTCAGAGTATTATTATAAATTCGAGATTTCGTGATGAATATTAGTATACAATACAATTTACTGCTTATGATGCATTTCCGATGTATTCTTCGGTCCAATTCTATTCCACGAGCTCTTTTGCGTCAATGTTACGTACCTACTTACCATAGATGGTGTGTATAGATATTTCACTACTAATAAATTTAGCGTATGCAAAATACGTATTAAATAATGTTACGCTTCCACACGTTTTTCAAAGATAAACGCGTGTGAATCCATAATAAATGAGTATTAAGTCGATCTCGCGTGCAGACCCGAAATATCCAGATAGGAGGGCCCGAAACGATAATGATGATGCGATGGACTGAAGAACTTGCGCCTTTCTTATTAGGGAAAGTACTGACCTGTGAAATATATTTATACTAAGGACACGGCTAGGTCTACAATAATGTCCCATAAAATTAATACATTACAGTCGTCATTTATTTTATTTGACAATAACACGCACCGGTCGATGAGCAATACATAGATAATTAATTCTAGAAAATATGACAAAACATCACGAGCGGAAACTATAGATAACAACGCGATTACGGACAACGGGAACACGCGCGTGCATATAAAAATATAATGTCCCCAAGATCAAATGCGAGTACCTTCGTGTCACTATATTATGAATTATATATTTGGACTTGTAATCATTTTGTGAAGAATAATTCATTGTACTTAGAATATTTTCTAAACATAATTATTTGGACTTGGTTTTTTTTTTTTTTTTGTACGAAATATCTATTTATTTATTTCATACTCTCTTCGTCGTCATACTGCGTCGGGCACATTACAATATTATTTTTATTTATTAAAAAAAAAAAAAAAAAAAAAATGAATAATAACAATTGATGGTACGAATGTAATTATTTATCCTTGTAAATTAGTTATAAATTTAAGCAATTTAATTATAATAATAATAATAATTGGTACCTATCAAATAAGCAAATAATGAATAAATCCTTGTCTAGGTGATAAGGCAAACCTCCCCACCACTTCATTAGGATCAACGTCAATTTCTTTTTTAATTAATAGAGAAGCTAACTCCGTTAGCTGATTTTCAAATGTTGGCGTATGTATGTTTCGACACGCCATAGAGTAGGAAATGTTCTTTTTACTATTGCCGTAGTCACTAGTAAAGTTGATAATATTTCCAATAGTTTTCTAATATTTGGGACAAATCTTTAATCACATTCTAATAAAGACTGATACATACAGTCTTTTTTAATTTTGTCAACGTCATCTTTTAAATGTAGTAAAAGAATGTATAAATATAAATAAAAAATAAATAAATTAATAAATGTGGCCACCATAGAGATATAAAGAACACGTTTATGAACTAAAATTTAAAAAAGATTATCCCTAATTCAAATTTCGCTAAAAATGTTTTAGAAAATAACCATAATATTAACTTTGAGATATTAAATACCCAAAATAACATTTACATTAATTCAGTTCTAGAATAATTGTACATACGAGTATACCTACAATGAAATAAAAAAAATGATTCTTATATCAATACATTTAAGATAATAAATAATAACCAAATAATTTATATTTCTTAACATATCTATGTCAAATAATAACACATTTTAAATCATCTCTCCTATTAAAATAAATTATTTCTATGTAAAACGACCAATTTATAAAAAATTGTTCGGTTTATTCCTTTATTTAATTTTTATATCCAGTCACATTTTACACTGTGACTGTGATATACCTAATGATGAATTTTTAATTTGAAACCAGTCATATAATACACTTATAGTAATACACATAGGCGACACATTTATTCATTTATTTTAATACATATATTTTTTATTTATACATTTATTCACTATATAAATGTTTAAATACTGTATTAAAATGTATATTTTTAAAGTTAAAATAATAATATTACAATATATTTTATGACGGGTACATTCAATTACTTGAAATTGGCATTTATACTGGATCTTTTATCGAGTGGCACAACCCGCCCAGCTTTTCTTTGATCTATACCGCGCTTTAGGCCAATCCAAAATTATGCCACACAGCATTGAAAAAAGCTGCGTAAAACGAAATTTGTGACATCATATTCGTGCCAAGCAACCCTTGCCACCCAGTAAAAGATGACTCGTGTGGACCCGTCTCAAGTGTTCTAAATACATGAGCAATCATTTACAAGTAGACAATAATTGTTGTTTTGATTGATAATAGGTACTTAAAATAATTTGATACAAGTCATAAATGATAAACGTTTTTAGTTCACATTTTTACTTCACGTTTTTATGTTCACAGACCACATCAATCTTATCTATAATAAAAAGCCCTTCATACCATCAAAATTTTAATTATTTAATTTTTGCCATATCAGACTTCTAAATACAAAAAAAAAAAAAAAATACATTATCTATATCTAGTTTTAGTATATTTATCATTATCATAAATAATTTGTTACATCACATGTTCCTAATTTTTTATGGTAGCGTTAGATAAAAATTCTATTACATCCCACTCAAACCACTTATTCATTTTTAACATATTGATTCTCCAGAAATAATGTTATTGGCAATTTCTGATGGAAAAAGAACAATGCTAATTCCACCAGTCATCACAGATGATTTAAGAACACATGGATTATATTTGCTAATCAGTTATTATTATTTGTTTCAGAGGAGTTCATCTTGTATACACTTACGCTGAATCAATCACCATCAGTATACTTGCAAAGTGTATACAAAATACAAAATTTAATATATATTTAACACATGTTCAACTGCTGACCATTAGTACTCCAAATTGTTCAATATGTATACAATTGTTACATCTATAAAAATCGATCACCATTAATAAATTAGTATAATTAAATATTTCATTGTTTACAACAGTATTTGCTGTTTTAACACATTGATGGACAGTACTGCTATAGCAGTAATTTTTTCAATGGTATCAAATGATAGAAGACTATGGACCACATTATGGCAATCCACACTACCAATTTACATAGACTTTAGATGTAGGTATAACACTACTAATATAACGTTGCATTTCAAGTGTCTGTCAATGTGTTAATGAAATAACTCTGCAATAATAATAGTGTATAACTGAACTAGTTTAATCGTTAACGAATTAATATATTCTTTTGTTTTATTGTTATTATTATCATTATTATTAATATTTAATACTTAATAATACTACTACTTGCCTTAACTTATAATGCCTACAAATACTAATCTAGTCATTAAATCTAGTCACATATTTTATACCAAAGTTGTCAATCTACATATTTATAATATTAATATGTTGTGTTAACTTTTGTTTTTGTAATAAATTGAATAAAAAAAAAGAAAAGAAAAAAAAATGTGTTCTCTAGCAGCTGTATGTACAACCCCAGATACATTATTTAATTAAAAATAAGTGTACAAAATAATGATGAGTTAAATGTACGAGTACATGATTTCATTAATAATCAAATGATTACTTAATGGAATAAAAACAGAAGTGATAAACAAGTAGGCACGCACACATACACACACACACACAAACATACATACATATTATATAAATATTAACTCGTACATTTTAAATAAGATTTTTATGAAATTTTCGTTATTATGTACTCTCCATTGTTACTTCTTCACTTTCTGCAGTTGTCACCTCTGTATCTTCTACCATTTCTTCTTGCTTTTCATAAGCTTTTTGAAGGTCCTCGAATAACACAGCATTAATGGATTTGAGTTTTAAAATGTCTGTAAAAAAAAGAAATTCAACAAATAAAACCCTCCAAGCAAGATATAATTATATATTATATAAAAATAAATTGAGCATACTATCGTTCCCGTTAAGGACAGCAATGAACCCTCCATGAGCCATCACTCGAACTAAATGTTGAGCAGTCATACATAATATGTCTTGTTGCTCCAATGACAGCAAGGTTTGAATTCTAATGTTACCAGACTCACATGGATCTATAATGCCAGCAGAACCAGGAAGAAATAATCCACCAGCAAGTAGTTGGATAACTCTCCTGTACGCTATTTGAATAGGCAAAGTTTGTTTGTTGTTCAACAGTGAACGATGGGCCTATTTAAAAAAAAAAAAAAAATTCAATTAAAATCTTAAAATTTGCCCAAATTAGGTAAGTGTTGAATTATTTTTGTTTTAATTAGCTAAAATATTGGTCATAGCCAGCAGCTTGCAATTGTAGCATGTGCTGATGATCTAGTGAAACCATTCATAACAAAGTAAAGAAAGTAAAGAAAGAAATCAGTCTTAACATAAAAGAGAAATCAAAATACCTTTCAGACAACAAGAAAATTAGAAGGGTTCTCATTTGAAAGGATAGAACATTTCAAAAACCTTGGAGCAGTGGGTGAATGAAAACGCAGTCATGAAGAAATAAAAGAAAGATTTATAACATTAAATAAATATTATTTTGGACTATTAACACTGTTCAAATCAAAATTACTTTCAAGAAGATCAAAGATATGATTGTACAAAGTTTTAAATACTCATAGCATATATATGGGGGAAAACCACTTAAACTAATGCAATTAAATTGTGTTTTTAAAAGAAAAATGTTTAGACCAAAAAAGAATGAAGAAGATGAATTTGAAGTTAAGACAAATAAAAAGTTTAACTACATAGAGAAACCTATATTATAATATTACAGAAATCATGAAGAATAACAAAGTATGTAATGTATATAATGGGCTGAAAGAATCTGAAGGATTATATAACAAGACAGAAATCAAACAAAAAATGCCCTAAAGGACGACCTAGAGTATCAGGACCAAAAGTATCAAGGATAACCTCAGGATAATTGGGGGTTGAGAATACAGAGAATGTGTCAATGGACAAAGAGAAGTGGAGAGACGTTGTTGCTGCAGCAATAGACCTAAATGTTCTTTAAAATGCCTTAGAAGAAGAAAATATAATTAAATTGTTTATACATAATTACATCATTTCCCTAATTTTACATCAGAATGTTCTGAAAATGTATCACATTTTAAAAGAGCTAATTGAAGTATTTGTGGAAAACATTAAGTATACAATTATTTTAAACAGAAATACGACAAAAAAAAAAATAAAAACAAAATTTAAAATGATAGAAGCAGTCATTACGTAAATATACATACAAAAAATAAAGCTCACATAGTAAAAATAATAAATATTGCTACACTCAGAATCTAAAAGAAATAATAAAGTATTATAAAAAAAAAAAAAACAATATATTTCTCGCTTTGCTCAGAATCTATTTTTTTTAATAAAACAGTTATCTGAAACTTATAACATTTTAGGTAATTAAACTGTTATATATATATTCTACTGCTATTAGATATATAATCATAATAATGGTAAGTGCTCAAAAAGTTGACTGTTTTTTAATAACTTATATTAAATGTATAAACTCAATAATAATATGAAATAAAACTAATAATTAATTTATAGTTTATTAATAATAATAATTTCATACTAACCAATAAATCTATCATCCATGGATTTAAACACTTCAGACCACTAAAACGGTTGCGTAAATCTTTGAGAAGTCTAACAAGCATTTTGTTTGATGAATGAGAAGCATTGTCATCAAACCACCGACTATATAATATATTTAATGATATCATTAAAATCATTAATAATTATATTTAACATATTGAGCCTTGAAAACTCACCTATGACGTATTGCGCCCATGTGAAGTTTCATTGCATTAGAGTCCAAATGTAATCCAGATGTTAACTTCTTTAAATTAGTGGATATAGTCGATATTAGTATACGTACAGTACCTTGTGATGAAATAACATCAAAGCCAGTGCTATCAGGCGCCATTAAAACATCTAAACACATTTAAGAATAATTTTAATAGATAAATAAATATTTATTTGATTTTGTAATCATAATGATAAAGAATATTGATCATTCTCAAACCGACCATCAGCAATATGTATTCCAGTGGGATGGTTTTCTCTAAAATCAGATATAATCCTTTGCGACAAAGCAACAACGCTCTCTTTGGTAGGTAAAGTTTTGAAAATAACCACTATGTCAGCCACAGTATGACCTTTCATAATAGTTGCTTTTTTAAATGAACCAACAACTCTGACTTCTTCGATCTACAAAATTGTTTTAAAAAATATACATGCATTGTATTACAAAATAATCTAAATTAAATTAAAAATTATCATAATTAACTTACAGATACTTCAGTTTTGCCTGGAGATATGATAATATTATCTAATATGGATTGTATCTTAGTAACAACACCCAGGAGTGCTGAATGATCTTCGGAACTAGGAGTTAATATCTGTGCCCGTTTGAGTAGAGCCTGAGAAAAAAAATAATAGGTAGTTGATAATTGACCAGTACTGAATCAATCAAGACTAAGTCATTATACTTACTGCATTGAACGCAGACTCCTCTGTAGTGTGAGCACCGGGCTTTACCCTGGGAAAAGCACCTTCGCAAAGGACGATATCGAAAGGATGTCTGGGTACTCTACGTGACATGAATGGAGGAACCATCGGACCAGCCAAAGGTGGTGGAAATCTATTCATACCTACACGTCCACTGCCGCGAACCATTGATTTTTTTAAATCAATGGTCAATACCAGTATGATAAATGTTGACTACTAAACTATCACTTGAACTGTAGTAATTCAAGTAAAATTACTTTACGTATAAACAAGAACAACGTCTGAGAAGTATAATAGTGATGGACATCAGATGAAAAATAGTAAAATACAATTGAAATAATTAAATAACAAATTCGACGATAACAAAAAGTTTAACAACATAACCTATTAAATCGTGAATCGTGGAGGAAAAGATTTAATATTATCATCTAATAATTAGGCCATTTGGCGCGGATAAATTTTTAAAAATATTCTTATCCACGACTTATAAGCTCATTTCTTTTTTCACTTTTTCGTTGTCAACATTAAATCATATACAATGTATTGTATATAATCTAAGTTGTCAACATAAGTTTATAACTGTAATTCACCAGCTACCAATGCCCACTGTATGATACATTTTGAACATACTCTTAATAGTTACTAGATATTATTGTTAATAAATAATAATATACATCAAATGCCGATGACTGTTTTCTTGAATGTAAAAATAAATTATCGAGACCTCAATTTAAAAATTGGGCATGACTATGGTCAAATGGGGGCCACTGTATTGTCCATGACAGATGGCCAACTAGCGAACTCTATACATCTCTACTTTCTAAACCTCTACTCTCATATCATTATTTGATTTTTCAGGTTCAAGTTTAGATTATTTACATTTTAAATGAATACTTGCCCGTATTAAAAACTTTATAAGAGATATTTTATTGCATAGGTAGGATTTTAATACCAAAAATTAAAGTCCTGTTAATTGTTTTTTTTTTTAATGTCTATAAATAACTCAAATGTATCCGACAAAAAGTTTTGAAAATTGTGCGTTTACTAGGTACGTCTAGAAGGGGATAATATATACGTATTTGTTGAAAATTTCAAATCTCTATGCATTTTTTGTAACCGAATTACAACTAAAAAAACAAAACCGTGAATATAGTAAACTTTCTCGGTTTTTCTCAAGTATAACAAAAACTGCAATGAAAATCAAATTCCTTCTCAATGCACCAACTAGATCCAAAATGATACTAAGAAACTTTTAGTTTTTGACAGGAGTAAGATTTCTGATAAGTTATTAGTAAACGGAAAAAACGCACATAGTAAAAAGCACGGACTAAAGGTGCCTTCACAGCTTACCGTGAAAAATGAAACGAAATATTCTAGGACTGTAATTGGTTGAATAATGTGGTTATTATGCAGTGGTTAACCAGTGGTCAATCATCATTTTTGATTTTAATCCTATATAGTTGGACCGTGTGTTCACCACGGTTTAATGATAATAGTTTAACTATTTTAAACTGTATCAATCATAGTGAACAAATTGTAAATTATCATGTTTCACGGTGAGCTGTGGAGGCGTCCTAAGATGTACTTAGTATATGTATTCTAATTTATGGTAAACAGTAAAACTTATAAATTTCTCGCTATGGTCAGAATCTCAAATAAACAATTTTCGACAGTTTAAATTAGATAATCATATATTCGTTAAGAATTGATTTAATGTTAAATGGATAATAAGACGTTCCCTAGATAATGTTGTTATTTTTAATTTGCATAATGGGATAAATTATTTCGAAATAAAACTGATTTTTCGAAAGCATGACGTAAGATTTCTTGATGATAGGAAAGAGATCGCTCACAGTTCCATAGATATACTAACAAGTTAATATATCTATTCACAGTTCTATGGTGCAGGTTCTATAATGTGTGTGGTCTCAAACACGGTTATAGATAGAATATCTATCTATAACCATAAAGATTTCATACCGTGGTCTCAAACACGATTAGGTTTATTATAATAATCTATCATTCTTATCTATATTTATCATTTTTGATCATAGACTTGTGGAATTGATTGAGGAGTGGCCTGTCCATTTATTTATTTTACTTTTCGTATTAACAATTTATTTAATTACTTAAATATTTATTCAGCCGTTCAGTATTAATTGTTTAGACAAAGTTTATGTCTGAAAAACAAGGAAACATGGCCGACGAAGGCTGCATGGAAGACGTAGATGAAACGACTGACCCGTCTATGGATTCTGCGAATGTAGTGCCCGAAGGGAATGAAGAAGGTAATCGCGGGTAGTAAAATGACAATTCCATTTGTTGAATGTTAACATTGATTTTGATATTTATTGCTGCAGTCGTATTCAAGTTACATGAGGAAATTGATAACCTTAATTTGGTACTCGACCACTTGGAGCGCAAAAATGGTGACATTTATTCAAGAATTGAACAGTTACTTAAGTCTTTTCAACAGATCAAGGACATAAGCGAAGAACAGTAAAATGTTTCCTGGTTATCCAACATCCACTATATAATTAATGAAAGACCTAATACCTTTATTAATTACCTACATAAAATTATCATTTAATTTCCAGTTATGTATACAATTATAGAACTAATTTTCCAAAAGTATAACTTCTTATACATAAACTAGATATATTGTCTGATCCATTTTTAAAAAATTATAGAGAATGATTAACTCTTATATTACTAATACCCCGTTAATGTAGTGGCTCATATTTACTATGTATCTTGCGGGCTATTTAATTGGAAATTGTTATAAATGGAATTTATTATTTGTTATTTGGTTCAATGAAGATTAAATTTTGTTATAATTGTCTTCCAAATTTTAATCTTTAAATCAAATTTGGAAGTCTCTTTACATAATATCTGTAGATACTTTATGGTTTCCTCAATTTCATTAAATTTAACATTTTAGAAATGTTAAAAAAAAAATGGAAATTTGTGTAATTTAAATAATTTGTATAAATGATAATTGAAAGCTAATGATATAATTTTCATTCTAAATGTATAAAACTATTTGAACAAATTTAAACATTTTTAATTTATAAAAATGCTCAATAATCATTTATCACATTTACTTTAACAATATTTGACTTTGGCAAAATTACAATATAAATCACTTTGTGAATACTTGTAATAGTACAAATCACAATATTTATATAAATGTTGTTTTGTTAAAAGGGCGTAAATCACTAAAAATCTTAAAATAAGATTTTGGTACCAGAAAAATTAGGAGCATATTAAACTGGTAAAAAGGTGTATTTAAATACAGAAATTAAGTTGGTAATATTGACTAAAATATATCCAGGCGCACTTTAAGAATATAATTAAATCAACTTTAATTTGTTAAAAGAACATTTACCACATTCAATGCATGTAAACTTTGAGTACAAGACACGTGTACAAGTAATTTTATTGTTTTTCATGATAAACATCATTAAAAACTGTTTTGCTTTTTCTTTGCTTTCTGCCCTTTTAATAAAACATTGTGATATATTCTTATGCATATTTCTATATATTTTCATTAATATTGTTAATTCTAAACTTTATTTTATAATTCAGAATTTTACCACAGATTAGATAAAACCATAATGATATGACCAATTTTAATATTTATGAAAGTAATTATATTATTTATTTATATAAAATAATAATTTATTGTTTTGTTATTTGTTAATTTATTTTCTGCATAATGAATAAAACAACATTCCATATTATTATTTTGTTTTGTTTTTTTCTTTAGTAATATCTCAGTAATGTCTACTTGTATTGTAATTTGTAGAAAATAAACAATTGGTGCTGGAGATAAAATAATGTAATATAATAAGTGAATTGATTAAGGATTTTTTTTTTTAAATATTCAACATTCTCATCATACCTTACACTATTATCATAGCACAATAATTATGTACCTATTAGCCAGTTAGATTTTTTAGTTTTTCTCTTGTTCATCTTACAACTTAAATGTACAAAATATGAGCAAACTAACTTTAAAATTGTTTACCTATTTTGGTATTTAGAGTGTCAAAATTTTTACAGAAAATAAATGTAATTTAAAAATTTACAAAATATTTATTTACTAATCCATAGTAACTATTAGTGGTGTAGCCAGAATTTATCAATACAATCTTCATAATCTTACCTATAGCTAAAAAAAAGTAATGGGAGGGAGGGATTTACAATACTTTTTATATTAGCGCATACATATTAAAATTAAGGGTATTTAATTATCTTTAAAATATAAATAGTATAATATGTAGGTACATACAAATTTCAGGTCATTATTTTATTACAAAATTAAAAATTTTATCTAATAAAAACTATTATTATAGTATTAAAAAAAAGACGACCTAGTATAGTAGGGTCAGGTGTAGCAACTGTATATAAGTAAATTAATGTACACCTGTAAGCAATGATAAACTATTGCTAACAAAAAAACAATTCTGAGTGAAGTTTAGTTGATAGTGCTGCTTTACCAACAATATATACATGTCATATAGTAAAATTCCAACTATTACAATTACAAAATTAAAATGGATTATGTTTTTCCAGTTTTTTGTTTGGTTTTTCACATTTGTTGAGAAAATCGAAAAATTACCTCTTTAAAGTATCAACCCCCCAGTGAAATTTCTTTCTAGAAAATTGCTATCATAATAAGTTAGAGCAAAATTTCTAGTAGAAAAGTTTTCACAGGAAAAAAGAAGGAAATATTTTTAACTAATACCTACATTTCTTCCATTTTCCTGATTTTTTTTCGTTTTTTCACATTTAATGAGAAAACTCTTTAGAAAATCGAAAAATTACTAATTACTAAATTATCTCCCTACAACAATTTCCCTTCAAAAAATGTGCTACACATACAAATCAAAGCAAGATCTCTTGTAGAAAAGTTGTCCAAAGAAAAAAAACTAATAAACAATTTTGTAAAACCATTAGATTTTTCACTCCACTCAGAATTTAAAACTACAGGTACTCGATGTTTTGATGTATAATTTTTTAATTAAACAAGTTATTAATATTTAATATTATTTCATCCTAATAAATAAATTATAACAGCAACATTTTTTTGGTTCAGTCTATAAAGACTGTTCACCATCCCCTCACAATCTTATTTTTAAATTAGTCTATGATTTTGAATTCTGATAATTTCAATAATATCAACATTTTAAGAGGTATACGTGTATAAATTATAATTTAAGTGCAATAGAATAAATTTTATATGCAATTTTAAATTATTTTATTTATTGGCCAAAATAATATTTTATTAAGTTAAAATGTTAAAATGATAAAATGGTAGTTATGGTGAAAGTTCTTTTTAAAAATGAAGTACTCATAATTCATCAAATAACTAAATATAGTTACTAGTTAGTTTAAATATTATACATACACATTTTTAGATTCGAACGGTAGCGAGGGAAAGAAAATTGGGTAAAATATTTCCGACATTACCAATTTCATTGTCAGATCTTTTTATAAATAATAAATTTATGGAACAAATAAATGTTTATGAAAAAAAAAACACCTATATATAAACATTCACTAATTAGTAGTTTCAGAATTTAAGTATATATTCATTAAAATATTGTTCATATATAATCGCCACCTACCTTGCTTTATAATATTTAATCAAAACAGAAAAGCTATAGATAAGTACCTATAATAGTAATATAATTTCGATATTCACAACAGAAACAAAATGTATGAATTATACAATCAGAAATATTTTTTAAGTATAAAAGAATAGTTCTAAAAATCTAGTATTTAACATAGTGCATGTCAATAACAAAATTAAAAATATCAAATAGGTATTTATACACATGTGATTTTGATCGAGTGTATAAATACTAAACACTGAACAGTTAACTACACTTTTCTAATTAATGCCGGGTTGCACCAACTATTTACACAGAGATAAAATCGTTTATCTGTAGTTGTACTAAATTTTGTTACACCAAACACGTTTTGGCGGGTTTAAATTTCATCTGTTGATAAAAATGTAGTTTATCAAGAGTTAAATTAAAGGTCCGCTTATCGCTGTGTAAATATTTATCTACAGTTAAATTTCGTTATCAATGTTATGCGTTATTGTGGTGACTAGTGATAATCGAAAACATTAGATAATATTATTATATTATTAATTTATATTTGATATTACTGTCAACACGACATCGTTCTGCGATTTCTCAATACTGCTTTGTCTGGGCCACTACCAGTGTCTACCACCTATTCCAGATGAATTTAAATTATTCCACTGTTGTACCTCCTCTCTATGTAGCCTAGATTAATCTTAAGTTTAATTTGTTATAACTGCCAGCTTTGACGTTAAAACAATTTAAACAAATAAATAATTATTTACCTATCTATATAATACAAGTTACTAATTAATGAAAATACATAAATAGCACTCTCAATTTCTTTTTTTTTTTCTATACCTAATAAATACAAATTCTATATGTGAAATTCAAATTTTCTTTTCCAATGTGTAAATAAAATATTAATAATTAACATAACAATAGTCTATGTACGTTAACTTTTCAACAAACAATAAAAAACCAAAATCATTAATGTTCATAAAAAAAACATGAACTTAATTGAAATTAAATTTAATGTGCCATCGTCTCATTCACACAAAACAAAGTCATTGTTTCCCGCCATTGACAATCAATGTTAATAACTGATAAAATAGAAAAAATAAATTTAATTAATTATCAACATGGAAATTAAGATGTTACACTTCAGCAAATAAATAAATATGTACATCAATATAAATTACATAGTAACATAAATTACTCTTTGGGTCACAATTAGTTAAACTCTTTCACAATGTATAGTATAAGTTAATGATTACACCACATTGACTTATATTAGTAAACACAAAATTATTGTTAGGTACCTACATACATTGTACATCTATAGGACTATATATGTGTATACCGTTTATGATCACTACAACAGCATCAACGTAGCAAAATTTTATTGGTTTTCTTTTCAATGATTAAACAAATATTATATTATTATTGTGAATATAATAGTAATATATACATATTGTATCCAATAATAAAATCTAAAACAATGTACCTTTAATCATAGAAACTCAAAAACAGTAGGTAATTGTACATGTTTACACATAGTATTATAACTGTCAATAAAAACAAATTTGGTCACATAAACAAGCATTGCTAAATATATTGCAAAAAAAAAAAAATAATAATAAATAAAATATATTCTACACAATGTTTATACATATGCATACCTATATTATCTGATTTCCGAGGAGTTTTACTATAGTAACCCCATAATTCTTAATAGTATACAATAGGTAAGTAATGGGTATGTTATATAATACACTATTATTTTTTGAATACTAATAACTAATAACCATAATAAAATCAGCAAAACACAAGTTTATGAGAACAAAAATTATCTTAACTAAATTTTATTTCTCCAACAGGGATTACACCAGTTTTTATTTTTTTTTACAATAGTAACACACAAATATGTATACATATTAATACATGTGTTCATCATAATAGACAGTGATGATTTAACTAAACTAAAGAAAAAATAAAACTATAATAAATTAAAAACAAAATTAAATAAATTATTTCTTTATTACCGTTATTATTGCTTTTTTTCCTAACAGGAATGAATAAGTTTTCAGAAGAGGAACAGTCTTCTAACACTAAATTGTATACCTAAATTTTACACTTATTACACTACCTACTAAAATCACAAATATTCATTAAGGTCTCAAGAAGTCTATCATTGTCTGACAACATCAAAGATGTTTTTTAAATAATAAATTGCTAATAGGGGGAAAAAAGGAATAGGTATATAAATATATTTTACAAAATTTAGCTACAAGCATTTTTGATTACAAATATAAATAAATCTAAATGACAAAAAAATCGCCCATATTGTTTGATCAGAAGACCATCAACAAATAATTGTATAAGTTTTTATTTTGCTATAACATTAATTTAATTTTAAAAATAATAATAATTCTAGAACAACAAAAACGAACAATAATAATAATAAAAATGCAACAAGTTATTAATAACATCCAAATTCTGTATAATAGTCTCCCTTATGGTAGGTTTACAAATACACCTAAAATTAAATATTGGTAACACTTGTGGATTCCACATTCACGTTAAAAATATTTTACATTATGTTTTTTTTGTAGAATAAAATATATATATCATATAAAATACACCACACATAACACATATCACTATTTCAATAGTAGTAAAAATACAAATCAAATGTCAGCTGCTCAAAATTATCGTACATACTTTGTGATAATAAATTATTAAATCTTAATACTTATTATTACATTTTACAATAAAATACAATTTGTATTTAGGTTATTGAGCAGCATAATACTACATAAATTGGTTTAATTTTCATTTTATAATAATTATTATTAATAAAAAAAACCCTGTAATATGTATTATTTTGTAATCATAAATACATAATATTAAGAACTTATTGTGTACCAAGAAATAATAATTTGTATTTAGTATGAAAATATTTGGATAGAAGTTTGAATAGTAATAATTATTTCAATGCCGTTTGGACTTTCGATTAGAGTTTTTCAAACGGTTAACAACCGTATGTCAGTCGCTTGATCGTTTTTTTGAAGTCTTATGATTTCGCTTATAATAATTTTGTGCCATAGAGTTGATTAATGAAACAATGAAATACACCACCATTGATAATACAAACAAGTCAAACACTTTTACAACAATATTTGTACCCTATATAAATATGTAGTATGTTTAGAAGTATATAGTTAAAACAAATATATATATATATATAAATAAATAAATTACCTTAGAATCCTTTTTAGCGTGTAATCTTTGTTTTTGATTTTCTAAAAACTTTGTGATAGGTGCTTGCATTTTTTCCCCAATTCCTGGGACTTTACCAACAACATCAAGAACTCTCGCAATCAGAGTTTCATTAAAAGCCACCACAACAAATAACACCTGTATGCTCATTTTAATAGCAGCTTTACCAAGAAGGGTAGCTCCAAAAAAGGTCCAAAATGGAATTAAAAAGTGGCCACAAGTGATTCCAGCAAGATCAAAGAGCGGATTAGGAATCTATAATATTAATTTTGTTTAAATGCAAATCATTTTGGCTAAAAATAGAAATAACAAAATATAACTTACAGATGCACATGCTAAAATTCCAAAGAAACCAACTTTTTTAACAAGTCGTTCAACAAATAATTTAGATTGATCAACCAAAGTCTGAAAAATAAATAATAAATTTCAAATAGTTCAGTGCAATCAAAAATCAATAAAACAATTACCATTGTTTCAGGATGCTTTTCTTTTTTGAGTAATTCTTCAAATTCTATTAAATCTTCTTTATCTTCATCTGGTGGTCTTCCCGAAAGTCTGGCAGCTCTAGCCATGAAATATGGTGGAAGTTCACCAAGGGCTGTTCCAGCTCCCCACATCATAGCTTCAACTCGTACTTTTAACATAATGTTCCATAAGCTGGTTGTCCAAGCAGTATCTAATTCATCGGGGCAAATAATTCTGAAGAAACATATATAAAACACAGTAATATAAAATTAAATACATTTTTTTAAAAATAAGGAGCAAACTTACTGTTCTGGGTATGGTGGTTCGGGGAAATTAAGTCCACCACATTCGTAGGCAGCTAAAGTCACTGAGGTAATGTGCGGACCCAAATAAAGAAGGAATGTATGAAGTCCAGTACCAAATCCAACTGATGATAGGATTCCTAGACCTAACCAGTACAGACACCATACACATTTTGTTTTTGCCCATACTAATAGCTAATAAAAAAAAAAAATTAACTGCCATTGTTTGACTTTAAGCAAAATAACTTACAGGTAAATGAGGACCTTCAATGTACAATAAAATAATTGGAGCAGAAATAACTAAAAGTGCAAGAAGCACATAAAACTTATAACAAATTAATCTGAAAAAAAATACACATATAAATATTTAAATAATAATTAAAATACAAAAATATTATAATATTTATAATAATTATTGATAAAGTATACTATTTTACTATAATAAAATTTAGATAATTTCTTAAGTACATAATTTAGCTTAAATCTCATAAATTGTATTTTATATTAAAAAATCAATTCAATACAAAGGGATAATAAAAACGTATATTTCATCAGCATTGTATAACTATCTTTATATTTGTTTAATGGCTATTAAATCAGTTTTTATCATTAAATAATAATTATGATATTTATTAGGTAGTGGCGCTATTTGATGTGCACAAATTGATTTTTAAGCTAGTATAAACAAACATTAACATATTATTTAAGTAATAACTTAATTATAATTAAGCTATTAGATTTTAAAACTATGATATTTTCTAAAATTAGAAAACTTGTAATTTTTACAATTAAGCCTATTTTTTTTTATCAATAACTTATTATTTTAAAATCACAAAAAAAAATGTATTAAATTAATTTTGATCAAATCTAATTTAAAATATATGGTACAGATGTTTATAATCATAATATCAACAATTATTTACATGTTTTAATATTCTGAATTTTGAACATTATATATATTCTATTTCAATATATAATTATATATTGATATAGATAAAATGCTGAAATATGCTCAAATTGTTTAAACTAGAGGTTACTAAAGCAACAATTTAGTTTACAAAGTATTCAAATATACCCAATAAACTAATGTAGACTTTTTGCATTTATTATTCATTACTTATTAAAACCATGGCATAATTATGCGACACCACTACCAATACGTGTTATATATTCATTTAAATAAATCGTATATAAATTCAAGGTTTAAAACTATAACAATAACATTATATTAAATATATAAAAATAAAATATTATTTTATATTTTTTTTTATTTAGTATTAACCATATTAAAAATTGTGTTTTACTTTATTATAAAATATTGTATAATTTTAATTATATGCTTTGCTTATCAATTTTAGAAATGTAATGAAAAATTAATAAATTTGCAACAATAAGATAGTTTTAACTACAAGTAGTTGGAATAAACTTAAATAATACAAATTCATATTGAAAAATGTAATAATGCAGCAGAGTAACCGGTTCATAACTTACCTTTTTACAAACGACTTGGAGAAATACACTAATTCTTTACAGAAATAATCTAATGTTAGTATGGGATGTTTCCATATTACAATAGAGTGGGTATCCATAGTTGTTGGTTTTTTAAATGGTTTGAATTTAGATTTACTCTGTCCGTTTTGTAATACCTAAAAAACATGTTAGGTATAAGCATTACTTTTCAAACTCAAGTCAACAGCATATCAATACATAAACACAATTTAAAAAAATAATAACAATTTTTGAAAAATGAATATGTAACCATGAAAATATAGTCAAATATGAATACAAAATCAAAGTTTTAATTAATAAAATTGTATTTTATTTAGAACTGATTATTACTTATTAGGTATCTAATTAAATGAGTCATAGATCATACAAATTAATTATGTAGGTATAGCTCAAAACATAATTGATAACATAATATTACACTACAGCAATTTATGTATTGTATATTTATTTTAAAATAAACATACTTATAACTTTTTTCATGCAATATTAAATATGAAGACACTATGGTAGGTAATGGTATTATAATATTTAGACTTTTATTAATAAAAATCAATTTTTTTTTTCCAAGAATTAGTTATTTTGGTGTATTTTTAAACATTTACAATAAACACTTCTAAATAATATTACTTGTATTCCTTATCTCAAATACTTGATGCTATATCTAATATAAATTGCTTTTTTTCAAACTTTTATTTATCAGATGATGTAATCTGAAATGATAAAGATTATTTTATAATTTTAGGGTTAAAAAGGGTATTCAATTACCCATAGACCTATGGACTATACCAATCCATAGTGAATATACCATAGAACTGATAATTATCATTAAACCTAAAAAATACCAGTGCTTAAAAATTTGATAGTGTACCTACCTCCTAGGAAAAAAATAGGAGGATTTTATTGTCAGCAACAGTGGTTTACAATTAATTGTTTTTTTTTAAAACAAAAGCGAAAAATTGTTTATATTAGACAGGTATAAAATATTAGGAAACATTCATGATAAATATTTAACAAAGATAGTAATAACTGTTAAGTATTGTTACATAACTAATTTAGTAATATACAATGATAACAACACTATTGTTAGGCAATAAACGGGGCAATAAAGAAAAAAAAATGTCAAATCGTGCAGACATCAGATGAATTGTTCATGCATTATAAAACCGGGGCTTACTTTATCGTTTTTCTTGGGTTTTGCCTTGGATTTCGATTCGGTCTGTGAACGATCCACTAGCGAATTGTTGTGGATTGAAGCCGAGGATGTTCCTCCTCCTCTGTTCTTGTGTCGCATCTTTTGTACATGTTTAAAAAAAAGAGAAAATTTTTTTTTTTTTAAAAACCCAAATTTAAACTTTACACTTTACATAACATATATATATATATATATATTAATGTAGGTGTGTGTGTGTGTGTGTGTGCATTATACAAGTATATTTAGCGTGTGAGCCAATGACGAAACGACAGGATATGGAAATAAACGACGGTTAAAAGAGAATTTGTCGACACCGACAGTTACCTTGCACGGAGGTGGGGCCGTGTGGTCGGGGCAGAGACGACGACGTTTGTGCGACGTGCGTCTCCGGCGGTGTGGGTACGCGTATCGATCACAGGGAAGGGCCGATATTACTGATCGCTACGTGTGCATCGTCGTCCTGGCGGTCTGCGCGACAACGGTGAAAAACGGCTGCGACGGCGGCCGCGAGTTGTATTACGACACTTTCGGCGGCGACGTCGGGCGAGTGGCGAAACCGACTTGGGCACTCCGAACGAAACTGCGAAACAAACCGCCGTCGACGTCGTCACGCTCTGACGTGACGTAAGCCGCTTATACGGGCTACGGCAGCTGAACGGAGAACACCGGACACGCACACGCACGTACCCGTTATCTCCGGGCCATATCGTGGAGCCGTCGTGACTCGATGGGCCATCGGTGAACGGCCCATTTGTTCGAAAAATGATAAGAACCGTTTTCGGAAACACGTCGGCCCGGTCGCGTATTAACACGGTGCGCGGCGGAATAATAAAAATCCTGTCCGACGCGGTTTTCATTCCCATTACGAATCGCGGAGTGTATTTTCGATTCGTTTCTCCCGTCGGCTTGCCCCCGTCCGTAACGGTGATTTTACACAAATTAAATACAATTGCGCATTGAGCGTTCAAATAATATATTACAAGTAGTTATCGAAATTGCGCTATCGGACCGTTATTTTATTTTATCCTTATCGTTTGGAATGACTGCCCTCTATGTTATGGGCTTGGATCGTATACCGCATGACGTGATATTGTACTATGTCAGCGATACGCGGAAGCCGTGATAAACCACGTGGAACACGTTGGTAATAACGATAACAACACTGGTTACAACTCACTACCACGGGCCGTGATCACGACACTATTAATTGTTGCAACCGTAGTTCTCGCACTGGAGCTTTTAACGTTCGACCCGGTAATAATTGTAAACCACTGCTTTCAATGCACTCTCATCGCTATCGCTACGTTTCTAAAAAAGAGAGTTTCTCCTACAATCATCGTTACTTTTTTGAAAAGTATAAGGCGTACACGGTTCTCTTTTATTTTTCAAAAAGTAATACGTTACTTTTTTCGACTATTAAAAGGAAACTTTTTTTTTCATTTTTGTCAATCTTTTAAAATGCGTAGCACCCTAAATATTAATTCTCACAATAAAATATAACGGAATTCAATTAGCATTTGTCGTTTCCGATGAGAGAAAAAGAAACTTTTACGGGACGTAAAACATCTACAGAATATTAAAATCAACTTGAAATCCGCTCGTGTAACATACTAACCACGAAATCACTAATCTCCATACTTGAATCGATTTTTCAATCATGGCATATTCAAATGTGTAATGCAATTCAAAAACGCACTTCAAATTAATTTCGATATTGTTGATATTTATTTTATTATAAACTAAAATACACAAAAATAACCTACTTAATAAGTTTATTATCAGAACAAACAATATATTATGTATAGTATAATAAACATAATACGTTAATTACGCGTAGGTACCTATGTCATGAAATTTAAACAGTAAAAAAATTCACCAGTATTATAAAATACATAAATATGTAACCACGTTTTTTTTAGTAGATACATTCCAGAAATTGCCTACGCTTTAATTTAACAAAACTATCTTTATTCGATAGTCGGTACAATAATGCTAATAGGTATGGCAATGTTATTATATTATTTATAACGGTGTTCATGTCTTCTAGTACTGTTAAAATTAATAATTATAAGTGATAACAAAACAGTTTTGTAAAACTAAAAAATTAGCGTTTTAGAATACAAATTATACGAAATTAACTACATCTACATATTTTAGGCGTGCTGAAAAAATTGCATACATTTACATACCCTTGCACCGCGTAAATGACGCACCCGATTACCTACGAAAAATGTAGTGATATACTTTATACTATTTTTTGATTTTTAATAAAGAAGAAAATTTATAGTCAATATAATTTGTACAATAAGTAGGTTACCCAGTGGTAAACTGGTAATACCCAGCACTGGCAACACTTAAGCATTACTCAGGGATTAAAATTGTATGCAGTACGACACACTTAGTGCGATAAGAAATGTTATGTGTGCAGAGCGAAATTAAAAATTGTGTAACGGCAATATTTTTATATCTTTATTATATAATATGAGTTTTTAGAAATTTGGTATAGATTTTGGAATCTTTGTGGAGATTGGTGTTAGTAACATCATACTATAGTCTATACCTACACTACAATATATAAAATAAATATTAAATTACTATTTTACCAGTATCGCTACAAAAATGGTAGCACACGACGATTAGCGTGCTACTTCCATCAGTTCATCCCACTGATTCGAGCCCATTACCCACCGGTGGTAAGGAAAGTTGGAACAAATCTAGTTTAACGTCCCATACAATTTTTTTTTTTTTTATAAAGTTGTAATATTTGACGTTGATTTAAAAATGTTAGGATTGTTTTATGGTAATCATTATTAATGAAGCTATAGCAAACAAATTTAAAAAAAGTCTTTTTTTTTTATAAAAGACGAGGGGTTTAATGACCGAGGATAATGGTGCAACAATTGCAAATGTTTAATTCACCCTCCTCCCCGCGCCCTCCCAGTCTAGTAGGTATTGGTTGTTTTCAATGTGAGAGGTTTATTTTACTGACAGATAGTTTTTATATTTATATTCTATTAAGTGTTTAATAAATTATTTATAGGGATGGAGTAAATATTTTAGTGAGTATACGCAGTGCCGTATGACCGTAACTAGAACTTAGATAATAAAATGCCGAAGAGCTCGGAATATACATTTGCATGTTTTTTGTGGGCTATTAGATTTATTGAAAAGTAAGCTAAAAATCGAAACAATAAAAAATATATCAAAAGTTTATAGGTAGCGCATTTTTTTTTGCATATTAATGATGTTGAAGTTTTAAAAGCATATATTATTTCATAATTTTAACATTTTCGATGCATATTTGATGATTCATGATATTACTATTTAAAAATTCTATAATAAATAAATAGATTAATTTTAAATTAAAGAGGTCAATTTTGAAACTTTTCACTTAGTATTATTGTATGGAGTTTTTCAAATATATATCTAATAGCTTTTATCAAAATATGTTTATGATCTATAAAATACTTTTCTTAGGAAATAATTCAATGGCTCTATAATTGATTACATAAATATACCCAGGTCCGTCGATAGGGTACAAGCAAGCCATGCATTGCTTTGTTATTGTAATTGTTATTTTTAATTGTAATTTTACAGAAATGTGAAGAAATTGAAGTGGAAAAATGAAATTAATAACCGTCAAAAAAAAAAAAGCTAGAAAATAGGGCTGAAAATAACTTACGACGGGCCTGAATATACCTACCCGTAAATAAAAGTGTCAGTTCCGACTAATACGTTCGGGAGTCAGTGTTTTGTTTCGATTATATTATTTTTATTTCATTGTCGAAAATGTCGAAAATTAAACAATCCGAGACAAATCGTTTGAAAATGTTCGTGTTTTTGTACAGTACGGATATATTTAAAACTAAAAGAATGATGGCGAAGGCAAACAAAGACAGACAATTTGTTGTGACTCGGCATATCAATATTGAAAAGCATAGACGAGCAGTTATTAGGAAAAATAAAAACAACAAAAACACGCAAGTTCAACAGCTAGTAACTTGTACTACAAAAAAGTGTTCACTCTCGCAAGATTTGTGTAAAGCTTATTTATTGTCATCAAACATACCTCTTCACAGAATTAGTAACCCTCAATTAAAATTATTTTTGGAAAAGTTTACTTCAAGAGGAATTCTTATAGTGAATATTATTATGAACATCTTGTGTAAAATACAAAATTTATAAGTGAATATTTTTAAGGCATATTTGTACTTTTTTAAATGCATAAATGTATACATATTTAGTAATTTTAAAAAGCATTAAGTTGATCAACAACAGTTTGGAGCAAAAAAAAAAAATAAAAAGGCCATTGTCTGTTTTCATATATCGTTAAATCGTTGTTACAACATGCATCGGTATACGATGTTTTGATAGTAGTTAATAATAAACAAAATGTATATACGCGTTTCTGTAAACGTATACCTGCGTTACAAGTAAAACAACAGTTTTCACTATATGCATTGTCAACAAATCAAGAAATCTGTATACGCCGTATACCCACGTATACGCTCGACTACACCATTGATTATAATAAATATAATATAAAATGTACAAGTATAAAAAAAAATTCCAGTGTACCCAATTCTAGTCTGTAATCAGGTTATCAGAATTTCAGCTCCCTCAAATCTCAAACGCTACTTGCGCTTATGAATATTCCCTTTAATCAGTTTAATCCAACTCTGTAATGATACGAGTAAATATAGATAATGAGTAAATGCGATTTAAGTATACCTAAAGGTATGACATAATATTGTGTGTACCAATATGGATTTAAGTGAGATAAAATAAATTATCATAATTCAACTCAAATCAAAGCTTATCTCCCTATAATTTAATCTGGCATTTGGTTTTGTTTTTTTTTTTTTTTGTAAGTGCTTAAACAGCCAGATATAGGTATGTTAGGTATACGATTTCGATTGCGAACATTTGGCTTTTTTAACAATACGATTTCAAACGTTTTTCGGCGGATCAGAGAAAAATATAAATAAAAATTACATGTAAAATTATAAATATAAATTATATACCTATAATACAGGGGCGCTATATAAGAGGGCTCGGGGTCTGCAGCTCCCATAAGATTGAGAAGTTAGGAATATAAAAATCTAGCTTCTGTATCTATATATAGTGATTTCGATATAAAAGGAAACCCAATCTCAAACCGTAAAAATTATTCAAACAATTTAAAATAATATTTCTAAAATTATGGCAAAACCAGAGAGCATTACTTCCGCAATTATATTATTACAAAGAGCTTAACCACACTATAAAGATTCGATTAGGTAATGCAATCAGAGGGGGTAGGATAGTGGTTATCCTCCCCATCCATGACATTTGAGATTTTCTTTATGTAATAATTTGTATTTCTTAAAAATAAGTAATAGGTACCAACCAGATTTTTGTTAAGTATGTAGAATTTTAGCGTATATAGCAAATAAGCTAAAACTTATATTAAACGATTTTTTTTATCAAGATTTTTGTTTATAAAATTATTCCACATTAGTCGCACCGTACTTTAAACGATGTAAATTTTTTCCACCTATGGTACTTCGTTTGAACATTTTTGTAGATTCTCGATAGATTATCTAAATTACAACGTTTGACAATAAATCATGATACATATGTTTTTTTTTTGTTAATTTTGGGGTTAACTTGATTGAAATTAATGAGCGGAAAACGTTTTTATGGTTAGTAAAAATGTTCTGACTTTTCAAATCATACTTGGATTCGGATTTTTTTAGTTAATGGTACTTTAATTGAACATTATTTCGAAATTTAAAATACTTAGTTTTTTGTTTTTTTTTGTTTAGACCAATGCTTCAATTTTTTCACTCAGTATCTCAACAGATGCGGAATTTCCGCCCGGTAGTATTTTATTTAAAACATTTATCGACATATTCAGTAGTTCACTCCCCTATAGATTTTTTTTTATTGTTGATTTCTGGGTTACCTTGACAACAAAGGAAAAACACAATTATTGGATATAGTGCATTACTACTTCACTGTGAATCGTGTTTTCGTTTGCAATGATTTATTGTTGAATATAGTAGGTACATAAACTAAATTACCTTGTTTATCTTATATATTTCTAACTACCCAACTGCAACAATGGCTAACCTGAGAGCAGTCACAACCTTTTGAAATTCATACACCTTCCAAAGAAAAACAAATTTTGAATATATAAACTAAAGTTATGATCGAATTACATACTATGTGATTGACGAAATATCATTATGTTTTAATAATATTTAAACAAGTATAAATATATAATATAATGATGTGTTTTTATTATAGTTAAATTTTTTTAATAATTAGCAATAGGTGAACACTTTTTTTTTATATTGTATAAGTATTATTATAATATATTATTATTATCATTATCCTGTCATCGTTAATGAATCGATATAATAGATAGGTATCGATGCAGCAATGTTGTTTTAAAATATTACTAGGTAAAAACGTTCGCAATCGTATTATTCAAAAAGATAAAAGAGGTGGTTAAATAAGGTCCGTCGTCACCACATACCAATTTCCCATAGGTGTTGGACAACATGTTGTAAGTATACATGTAACATGAAATTGTAACATCAAATTTAAGTTAATTTGTGTCCACGCAATATTTTATAACGGATATACACGGCGAATTACCCATGTACAAATATCATGAGAATCCGGGTAAACGTGGAGCGATAATATTCAATGAAAACTGCTTTTGATCTATATTCTATATTATGTAGCTACATGACGTCATAATTGTGTATACACATTGAGTACGAGGTATACTAAAAATGAACGTATGTCATTGTGTTTCGCATAATTATTACAACTGATTTTTCACCATATGTATCCGTACGAATTACCGCGTTAATGTAACAATCTCGCGTACTTTGACTTGTCGCAATTTCGGTGATAATTATTATACACGTAAACAGACAAGTACGAACAAATTTAGTTTGAAAAAAATTAAAAATATTATTTCGATAATATGTGCTACATTTTTGCATAGGATGTTGAGTATTTACGAATTATAAGCAGTACCTAAGTAACTTGTTAAAATATAAACCGCATGTTCCTAAATTCATCATATTGGTCAACCGCTGGATGTAGTCAATAGGACTTCCTTATCAGTGATCCACTATTTTTTTAACTGGTTGATTATGTAATTAGATGAATTTGTTCACGCCAAAAGTAACTTATATGAATATTTGATAAAGTTAATTAAATTAACAGTCTATTAATTTATTTTTCTAGTTCACCATTATTTTTTTGTGTATTTTAATCTTTTTAGAAACTAGAAGTATTAAAATACTTGAAAAATATTTACAAAACAGAAATCAAATTTATTCATAGAGATTATGTACATACTTCAGATGTAAATGGCGTACTGACTTCATTTAAAAAAATTAACACTTACTTTAATTGCATATAAATAATAAACTTAAGATGACGTTATACTCGCATCTACTGTCTCAGTCCAGCTACCGGGTAACATGCAAAAACAATGCTTACGCAGAATAAGTAAAATTAGCTTAATTTTGATTTTAGAGTAAAAGTACCTATTATGAAATTTATAGAGAACAATATTTTATAGGGAACGTCATAAAGTTTTTGTATTTTTCAAAATATACAGCATATAAAACGATATAAAATAGATACAAAAACCTTTTTTTTTTCTTTTTTAAATAACTGTAACTTTTTAAATTAGTCATACGTCAAAAAACACCTATGACATTGTTTTTGAATGTTAACCGGTAGTTGGACTAAGACATTAGATGCGGGTATAAAGTCCTCTTAATGATTTATGTTAATAGTTGATAAGATAAAATTATTGTGATTAAAGTATTAATCAATATGTTCAAGCGTATTAACAAAAAAATGTTCCTAAATTTCTATCAACCCGCTGAACAATCTGCTACATTAATAAATGAATATATTATAGGGACATGCAGAATATGTAAGTAGGTAAGTAATGACTAATGAGTATTAAATATTATTATTTAGCTATGAACGCGTCGAGCAGTGCTGTGTGTACGATTATTGCCTATATGAAACGCCGTCCTATGTCATATTATTATTAATAAATTGTATTCGGTTTGTTATAGGTGTTATTATTTTCGTACTATGATACCTAGAAACGAGTTAGGTAGGTGGTATTCATCACTAGTATCAACAGTAGTTTATTGAATAATAATTGTTTTCATACTTATTTTCTAGAAATTAAAACGGCTATTACTGAGTAACTATTCATCGGACATGAATGTGTGATACAGCAACATTTTTAGAATAATATCTTTTACAAAATGGCTGTTTTGAAAACTTTGTAAAGTGAATAAAAAAGTTAATTTTTTTTTTATGTTTAGGGGATGAAAATAAAATTTTTTTTTCGAATCGATGCCCCCCTCAAAGAAACACCGATTATTAAAAAAAAAAAAAAAAAATGAAAAATATTTTTTATCTACAGCTCTAGAAAAATCCGTCAAACACTGTTTATTATATTGTTGACAAAGCATCACTATCAACTGAACTCGACTCAGAATCATTTTTGGTAAGCAATAATTTATCGTTGCTTACAGATACAATTTAATTTTCTCTCTAGATCCTACCTTCCCAACTTCTCACCAACAATAGTGGGTGCCATCGTGCGAAGTATGTCCATCTTTTTTTATTAGTATTATATTATATTAATAAATTATGTGATGAATAATTTTGATAATTATTGTTACAATATATTAGTGTGAGCGTGTAGTATCTATTATTATTAATCATTTTTATTATTAAAAATGCTTTAAATGCTTCAATGTTTTCTGATTTCAATTACTCATTGAACGCATATTATTAAAGTTATTTGATCTCATAATTTTGAATAGTAAACGAGGAATTGTTTACTAGGAATTGTCTAAAAATAATACGTAGGGTATATTCATGATATTATTATTTATTATACTTTAATTTATTGAATTATGATAATTATAATAAATTAGAGTAAATTTTTGTTAAGTACTTAAGTGGTAAATAGAGAGAAATACAAAACCAAAGGGCGGCACATTTGGATTATGCCTATGTATACATTTTGTCTAGAACAAGCCCTGTAAGTGGTATAAGGTGAATATTCAAATTTAAATACTATCATTTCGCATATAAGTAAAAAAAAAAAAAACTTTAATAGCATATTATTTATGTTTATTCAAGTGCTTGTAGATACCTACACCATTAATCGATTTTATAGTTTTTATTTTATGCACACTATTGAGAGCTTATAAATAACTGAAAAACCATAGCAACATTTTTATAAATCTGACCGCGTTCAGATCTAGGATAGGTATTTGATATAGGATTTTTTATTACACGTGCTAATGTATAGAACAATGCATTCAATAAAATAAATATGACTTCTGAAATCGATTTAGGTGTACCGTGCATCTACGTTTTAATGAGCACTTGAATAAACATAAAAGTCCAAATGTTTTTTTTACTGTTTTCGTGTAAAATATAATCAAATTAAATATTAGAATAAATGTATTATTACCGTATATTATGCACGTGTGATTTTATATTTGTAAATTATAGGTAATTCACGCAGGTAGGTCGATATAGGTACCCTAGGTAATTAGAACATAAGTCATAAATTAACAGCCCGGTTGTTTCAATATTCAATAGGTAATTAACGCAGGGGTACCAAAGGTTTTTAAATTTCGATTAGGTAACGCCAAGATGGCTTTAAATAAAAATTACTTGAATTTTTTGTCGCTGTTTTTTCGATTTTCGTGGCATTGGAAATGTTATTAGATCTTTTTTCACCGCCTGCCCGTGTTCTGTAAATAATCATAAAATTGGAAAATGAAACGTTTTTGAGTTAGATATAAGTAGGTATACCATAATGTGTATACGATACAAAATAAAAAAAATAAAATAAAAATACACGTCATTGAATTGATGACTAAAATATACACGGAAATAATTAATTGTTTATAATGCTGATTTTGTGTTATTGACGTGTAGTGCATACAATTAAAATTAAAAAATATTTTATCACTAAATATAGTTATCACGTTTAAAAAGTAGTTTTCTTTGTAGAAAAAAAAAATCATATTACCTTTATTTTATATTCAAATTTAAAATAAACTGGATTAACGTGATATTTGGAAATTCAAGAATTTCCGCCGATTGTCTGTTCCACTACTGCATTGATGTCTGATAATTAATTTTTTTTTTTTTAATTAGGCGGAAAAAAAAATCGCCAATTTACAGAAAATAATAATAGGTATTATTGCTATATAATATTCGACTCTAATAGTACCTACATATTTTGAAAATAAATGTTCACAATAATATAAAACGTAAAACGTGTACGCGTGGATGTGTTGTAAAAATCTATAAAATTATAATTTTGTAATATTAAATTTGATAATAAAACAATAACTGCAGACGTAGTGGCGCGATCTGTCATTGAGAATATTTCGTGTTGTGAACAATTTTATAATTTACTATTGAATCTTTTCAATGACTGAAACAAAATGAAAACTATATTATCGTCTAAATATAGTAATCAGTTTTTGTAACATCGAAATGACTTGCAGCGATGACCTTGAAAACTGCCTGTACAAGTGCAATGCGATCATTTTATCATAGCCAATTTCACAAGACCTACAATATGTACCTAGGTCGTCTATTAACTGCAAGCCATTATAATACAATGATATGTGTAAAGAATGACACATTTCTCTCAGGGCTTCATAAAATAACAATATTATACTATTATTTATAATTTTATAAGCAGGTCTAAAATTAAAATACCAAGCAATAGGACATTTTAACATAGAATATTATAAGAAAAAAAAAAACAAATAATTAAGATATAAATTTAATTTATACTCGTATTCTATACTTGTAAAGCAAGACTAGTACCTAGATACAAGTGCATAATAAATATTATTAATAATTTTTGTTTTTTTAATCTTTATAATTTTACTAGAGATAAGGTATGCATATTTTTTTTATTTATGTGTTGGGTGTTGACTTAATGTTTTTTATGATAATTTTTTTTTTTAATTGAAATTTTGTGGAACAATTTATAATGTATATTATAGAGATATATTTAGTAATTTTTTTTGTGTGTGAAATTTTCTTCTACTGACTGGCTACATAATACGCAGTTTATTTAAATATTTACAGAAGTATGATAAGTACTAATTTTCAACTGTTAGCAGTTAACACAAAAGTAGGTTTTCTACCAAATTCTGATCACAGTATCATCTAGAAAAAGTGTACCTTGTATAAAGAGTATTTAACAAAATTACATTAAAAGTTGATGAATTCAATCATTATTAGATACATATTTGAATAATTTAAAACAATAAAACAATAATATAACATCCCATACTAATTTTAACAATTTCTATAAAGAGATTAATGTGTACAGGCATATTTAAATATTATGTTGCACACTATGAATAACACATATTATTAACATGGAAATAAATTTTATGCTCAACAATTTAAAATTAGTTAAATAAATACAATAAGTAATAAAATTGTTCAAAAATATAATATTTGATATTTAAAACAAAAACAAATTATAAAGATGAGTATAATGTATGGGATATGTCCTTAAGACCAACAATAAAAAAATCATGTGGAAAAATACAAAGCATTAAAAAAATAAACAATATAAAGTTCATAATTAATTTGTTGTTTCCACTTCACCTTTTAGGATGCTTACATATTGTTTCCAAGATAAATTTTCATTTACAAAGCAGTTGCATCTGGATGTCTTTCCACAATCATGCCAACTCCCTAAAATATATACAATTTGTTGTACATTGAATAAAAGGAATGATTTATAAGATGTTTTTATAATGATATTGTTTCTTAATAACTTTATAAAAGCACCAATACACTATGAAAGTTACAATGTAATAAAGATTATAACCAAATTCTATTAAATGATCATTAAAATTAACAAATGCTAAATACAAGAATAAAGAGCTATTTAAAACTTCTAAAAGTTTAGCATTCCATGGTTAAAGACTTTTAAAGTGGACCAAATGTTCTTATAAATTAAGTCACTCATTAAAGTACATATATATGATTAAGACTAATATTCAATCTTTTTAAAAATAACATTTTAACGTAATTTGGAAACATATGATTTACTAAATTTTTTCAATAAAAACTTGAAAATCCTAATATCTTCATATTTACTGTGTAATATTATTATATTCTAATTTATTAATAAAACTTAAGTTTTTATAATAACATATACATATTTATAAAACAAATTACCTGTCCACCAGCGGCACAAGCAGCTATCAAACCAAATTGTCCATCTTCTCTTACTAACCTATTAGCTGTGTGAACAGTCAAACGTACTCCTAGATAACAATAATAATTTGATGACAATAATTTTCTAATTGAATATAAATTACAGAAAAATTTACCAGTAGCAGCAAAAGGATGTCCAATACTCAAAGAACCTCCCCAGGTGTTCCATTTAGATAAGTCTGGTATTCCAACTTTGCTTTTTCTGTTCATATATTTTTGGGCAAACCAGTCACTGTCCATAGCTTTTAAATTTGCTAGAATTTGTCCCTAAAATTTTGGCAACAAACAAATTAAATTGAATAATAATTTAGGTTTTTATTTTACAGTGGTACATTGAACATTTTAAATAGTAGAACTGTGAAACTTACGGCAAAAGCTTCATGAATTTCCCATACATCAATATCTTTAACACTGAGACCAGCTTTCTCTAACACTTTTGGTGCAGCATATGTTGGTCCAAGTAACAACTGATCAATAGGATCCTGAGCCACGTAAGTAAAATCTCTCAAGTAAAGCTTAGGTTTTAGGCCTAATTGTTTAGCCTTTTCTTCAGTCATAATGAGACAAGCGGATGCACCATCAGTCTAATAAAATGTATAATACAAATAATCTTATATTATAATGACATATTATACTCATTTGAAATTTGCAAAGGATTAAACAAATGTTGTATTTTAAACTTACCAAAAATGATGAATTTGCAGCCGTAACTGTACCGTGTGGTTTTACAAAAGCTGGTTTCAATTTGGCCAATTTATCAATTGGAGACACTCTAATACCATTGTCTTTTTCAATTACCTTTGAAGTATTTGGTACTAAAAGACATCAACATTTTTTTATAAAAAATGGCACAATCAAAAATGTAGTACTTACATCTAAATGGTACAATGTCGGTTAAATATCCCTTATCTTGTGCCTCCTTAGCCATAGTGTGTGATCTAACAGCATATTGATCTTGTTCTTCTCGTGTAACTTTGAATGATGCAGCTAATCTATCAGCTGAAAAACCCATAGTTTCACCAGAACTGAATTCTGCAACAGCTGGCAACTAAAAACACAAATATTATGTTTATTTTATTTTTGAAAGACTAATATTTTTTTAACATACTTCTGGAAGTAAAAAGTTTGGTCTAAATGTAGATAGCAGTTTTAACTTGTCTAATGCTGTTTTTGCTTTATTTGCCCTCAAGAGTAGACTTCTCATCTTACGAGAATGCCTAATCGGAACATCAGACATGAATTCAACACCGCCGGCCACAATAACGTCATATGCACCAGAAGCTATCAATCCAATACCAGTCGTAATGCCTTGATTTGAACTGATACATGCCATTGTAACAGTATGAGCTGGAACGGAGTATGGAAATCCAGCAGCAAGTGCAGCTTCCCGTCCAATATTACTAGTCTTTACTTCTTGAATTACCGTACCATACACAATGTAATCAATTACTTCACGGGGTACATTTGTTTTTCTTAATAAACCTCTAATTTAAAGCAAAATACATAGATTTTATAGTATTATTATAAATTATTACGCTATTTAAATATTATTATTTCAATCAAAACAAACATATATTTCAAAAAATACATTTTAATTTAAGTTAGGCATATAATACAGGACATAATATATATATATTTATTATTTGTTATCTTAACTCAAGAAATTTAAAAAAAATATGTTATATAAGTATTCTATATAATACACGTTTCGTAAGATATAAAAATGAAATGTTTGACATTCCATTTTTATTATAAGTGTTTTAATATAATTAAAAACTTACAAATAAATAATAACAAAATCTCAACATTTTATATCTAATATTTGTATATCAAATTATTTAGAAATGTATTCAACTCTAAACACTAACCAATAAATTGACTAGATAAAAAAGAAATAAAATGGTTCTTAGCATAATGATTATATTAATTTAATAAACACATTAGGTATGTTACTGTCTAAATAGCCTATCCTTGAGGTTGCAACAAATAAAGTAAATTTATAAAACACGAGGTCAATAGAGAATTGTTTCTTTTTAATTGGCTATTATATATTTTTTAGTGAAATATTTAATATATTTACATTATTATTTAACTTGAATAATTGTTTTCAAAATTAAATATTACAATATAAGTGTACTAAGTCACTACTACAATTTATGTGACTCAATAAAAAAATTTGACCTTTAATAAATTTTACTTCCTGAAAAATTATAATTCTGAAAATGTATTCTATTTTTGGTTTTAGTATTTAAAATACAAGTAAAAACTGTAGGTATGTAGGTACCTAAGGATATCTTATTAAAATATATAGGTATAGTTTAAAAGTTATAACTTTTATATTAAAATATTGTATAGGTATCCTTGAATTATATTTACATATATTTTAATTAGTGTGCAAACAAGTGGTATAAACACTTAACAATAATTTGATCAACAAAGGATAATACTATATCAAAAGGTATTTATTCAAATTTGTTTATTCAAGTTTATCAGTTGAAATTACTAAAAAACTAATTTATGTTTAATTTACCTGAACTGAATAAGTTAAATAAAAAACATTTCATTGTCTTTTTGCAAGTAACTACTTACAAAACCTCCGAGGAAACTTAAAAATTAAATTGAAAATGAAAAAAAATAATTATAATAAAACCTTACATAAGAGCTTCTTTAGCCAACTGATGAGGCATCAAAGAAGCATAATCAGTTCCCGACAATAAGAATGGAGTACGCACACCATCGACAAACACTATGTTCTTGCCGGTTTTGTCTTTTACACGGGGTGACGCCGTTGACAAACATCGAATTGGTACTGTTACAAATGTGAAAAAGTAATAATTTCATGAATAGTGTGTAACATTGATTAATAATAATTAAGAAAAGCCAGTAATCTGTTATACTCACAGCAAATGTTGTGCGATACGGATATCCTGGTATCCAATTTCACCAAATTTTTTAACAAATTCGATGCCATTATTACCTTTGTTGTTGACGTTGTAAATCTAGTATAGTAAGTAAAAACAAAAACGTCGACCCGATTCGGTGTTAGCAAACGGAACGCGGAAATAGCACAAATATTGAATTAAAGGTCAGTCTCTGTCGAACGGTGGTACAAATTTAGTGATAAGAAATTGTTTTTAGTATTTTGCCTATTATGCTGCCAACGTCCAACGTAATCAGTGGCCTTATCACAGCCTGCTGTTGACGGATCCTTCGTGACCTTTCCAGACAAACTTACAGTATTGACGGCGTACGACTGATAACACTGTTACGATCATCACAATTATGAGTAAGGCACTAAATATTATTATTTATAGTACCTTATCAGAAGCACCTGTAATAACAGAATTACATTTTGCAATCGATTATTTTACAAGAAATGTATCAGATGTCATATCAGTTCCCGACTTCGGAATTCGAATACCTATCACGACACAATAAAAGTGTAAAACGCCGTATTCAAATTTTATTTTCGATTCGTCCCGATACGTCCCGACTTTCTCCGAAGTGCCAGCAGTTGCAGTAGCTACTGCAATAAATTGTTATACATTGTTGTTATATGCTTTCCTCCGTGGTTATTAGTAAACACACTTACCCGGTATACGGTGTGCAGCTGTTGTGACGTGATTGATAACACTAGTAAATTTATTGATCCGAATTTGTAGCCGAACATTTTTCTTCTCCAAACACTTTAGATGTGTTCCTTCAATTTTTGACGAAATGTTGTAAATGTACCGTGATTACATTTTACTGAGAGAGTTTCGTCGACTGAACACAGTGGCGTAAGTTTATTATTTCGTATTATGTAGTTTTATCCAACTATACAGCATGTAATTTGTTTTCAATTTTATTACGCAATTTGCTCGAAATCGACATCAAGCATATGCTAATGAAGTACATTTCATAAAATTGTTTTATTCGAAAATAATTACAAAGTGGAATTAGGATTTCGTCTCTATCCTTGCGTTTAAAATTGTAAACAGATTTTTACTGTTTCATTTCAAGTTTTTCAGATTATGAGTTTATTGCATTTATATTGTTTTTATTATTAAAACACTTAGGTTATTTCTTGGGTTATTTCTATAGGCTATTGTTCTTAAATATATTAAAAATACATAATTGGTACATTAGATATACTATTAATGAAATATATATAATAAATTAACTTGAATATTGGGTACCTATGGTTTAATTTCTGAAGATTAAAGTTCAATCATCAAGATAATATTTAAAAATACTGATAAAAATATTATATTATTGAAAAACAAAATCTTTGGATGAAACATTGAGTTTTTCACTGACTATTATGATATACAATTTTTGATTGAATTGACTATATTATGTACATTGCTAAATTAAAATTATAGAACTATGGAAATTCTAGTGAGATAATAAGTTTACTGTTTTTAGTTAAAAATATATTATAATAGAAATATTAACAATAAACCAATACTGCCATACAATTCAGTAGTGACACAATGTATTTATACCTTGAATCACCGATTTCATAGACCCCATCCACCCATAAATTGACAATTTTATACAAACTTTTACGTATTTTAAGATTGACCAATTCTTTTTCAGTAAATTATGCAATTCAAATATACTGTTTCACACTGACAATGATACAATTATTATTAGTTTTTAGCACAGTCTATTATTTACTTTTAAACATCAGTATTGATTTGTTATTGTCCCGCCTGGCCATCCAAATAATGTATTGTCACTCAAGTTTCTTCTGATGCCTAGTTCAGGTTTGCAAAATGATACTGAAGTAATTTCTTGAGCCCAAAAATGTATGAAGTAACGATTTTATGAACCTTGAATCTTGAATCCTTAAGTCATTTGTCAACTCAATTCATTTTTTTTTACAAAATTTTCTTCTGTAATAACGGGAACATAACCCTTTTAAAAACATTTCGTAAGTACGCATTGTTGAATAATATTTTTGGATTACAAAAACTAAATACCCCCAGTTTCCTTTTGGTATTTGAGTAAATAAATCTTGAGACTTAATTTTTTAATTTTAAAAAATGCAAACACTGATTGACGAGAATGTACTGTCATCGCATTTAACGATTATCAGTTTATTTTTTTATCAATGAAGTTTTGTGATGAAACTAAATTGTATCTGTATAGTAATTTTTTTTCTTTACTTTATGTGTAAATAATAGCTTATTTGATATTTTATGCCATTTTATAGTTATTATAAATCATAAATGGTGACAGAGTTATAAAAAATCTGAGTAGTGGAACAATACAATTTTCAGAAGGCTGTACTAGGTAACAACAAACTAGTACCTTAAATTCAAAACTAATTAATTCAAATTCTGTACAAGGTTTTTTAAAACTTTACCTATATTTTTACAATAAATGTCTAATAAATTACTGTTTTTCAAAAGTATAAATGATAAGTTGATACTGCTATTAGGTTTGCCACAGTTTTAAGTGGGAGGTTGAGGAGGTAGGATGTGTAGAGTTATATATCTGTATGCAACAATAAATCATTGCTAATAAAATAAGATTCTGAGCAAAGTTTAGTTATACATGTTTTTAAATTACAATGGCAATTTATAATTTTCATCAAAATTTGAACTTAAAATGCTTATAGAAAAACTCGTGTGTTGTGTAAAAATTTTTTCTAACCAATAAGTACAACTTATAATTAACTAATCGTAAAATGTTATCTACATTAAGACTTCATAAAAACTTGAAAATGTCAAATGCACAGAAATATTTCAAAAATTTCCAAAATATTTTATTATGTCCAAAAAATTTTAATATAAGTATTCTGTGAAAATTGCAGGTCTCCATGATTATTTTAAACTAAATTACAACAAAAAACAAAATATTTTCCTATGTATAGAAAATCAAAAAATAACTGCTAAACATTTTTTTTACTGACAATAGATATTTATTGAATACTTTTGTAACTATAACTAAGATATTATATCTAGATTTTAAATTAATTTTATATTTTATTTGTTTATAATTAAGGAACTGATTTATATACACTTAAAATCCACAAAAAAGCATTTAAAAATATTTAAAAAAGCAAAAGTGTTAGAAGGGTTTTAAAGTACCCACTCTTAACAGTTCTGACCTTATTAAATACAATTGTATAACACGTACAAATTTATTTGAAAAAAATTTCTCCATAATAATCATTTTTGTAATGTTGAACAATTATTTTTAATAAATTAGAAACAATAGAAAGAGAAACTTAAATCCCTCTACCTTTATTGTAAATATTTTCAATAGCTTTTTGTCGTTTTAAGCAAATTTTTATAAATTTCAAGTGATTTATTCGCATCATTTTTTATAATAAAAACAAATGCTGTTTTTATTAACATATTTAGAGTATAAATACATTTTTTATGTATATGGATTTTTAAGTACATATATTGAATCCATGCTTTAATAATAAGGAACATCATCAAATGCATAAGATTTTAGGAATATTATGTGCTCTTATAGATGAGAGAAATACTAATTAGTTAAAACAAATTTGTCCCTGAATTATAAATTAATTCCTGAATTATAAAAAAACAATCATTTTTTGGAATATATTTGTTTGTGATTCACTATTATAAATTTTAATTTTTCTTAACGTTCTTATTCAATTAGATTTGATATTTTTAAAAAAATATTTTATCCTAGGTTATCTACATGTATTTTTCTTACTTGACTATTGCATTAATTAATTTACTAGGGTATGTTATTTATAGGAATACCTCGTTGAGCTTAAAATCTTTTATTTAAGTACTTAACTACATTTTCTGTTAAACCATTGTGTTTATTTTTATAAGTTAATTAATAAAATTCCTAGTCAAGAAAAAACATACACAAATAACTAGTTATAGTTATCAAATTAATGTTAATAACTGACAAATCATTAACATTATTTAATAGTAAAAAATTATAATAATGTAATAAATGTATAATTAGTATATGTATTATTTATTTGTTTTATTAAAAATACGAACAGAAACCCTAAGTTACACTGATACAATGAAAAAACTTTTGGTACAATATATAATAATTCAAATAAACCAGGTCATTCATTGTTAGCAAAAGTTGATTGAAAAGACTAGGTAGTACATATCTTTATAGTGTAAAGATCTTTCTAACTATATTTATTTTCTTTGTTACATTTTAGATTTATAAAATAGTTTTCCATCTGCAGTTGCAAGATGGATAATATGGACGACCCTTCTCAAGGGGCGGACATATGTAGGGTTTGCCGATCGGAGGGCATGCCCGAACGGCCATTGTTTCACCCATGCATATGTACAGGCAGTATCAAGTATATACACCAAGAGTGTTTGGTACAATGGATGCATTACAGTCGTAAAGAGTATTGTGAACTCTGTAGTTATCAGTTTTCATTTACTCCGATTTATGCTCCTGACATGCCACGGCGATTACCAATTAAAGATGTTGCTGCTGGTGTTACTTCCAGTGTGTTAACTGGCATCAAATATTGGCTACATTTTACTTTGGTGGGGTTAGCATGGCTGTGTGTTGTACCTTTTACAGCTTGTCGGATTTACCGTAGTTTATTCAATGGTTCTTTTGATGCTGTAAGAAATTTAATCTCTTTTAAAATATTGAAAGGAGATACCTATTTATTTTATCAACAATGTTTATTTACAAAACTTTAGGTAATTTCATTGCCTCTCGATATGTGGTCTTCGAAAAACATTTCTGGTGACATATTTCACGGTTGTTTTGTTGTGACTTGCACATTGTTTGCCTTTATCGGATTAATATGGCTACGAGAACAAATATTGCATGGTGGTGGTCCTGATTGGTTGGAAAGAGATGAACCAAATAATCAACAACAACAACTGAACGTATTGTTGCCTCCGATTCCTGAAGATAATCCTGCCGAAGAGGTAAGGCGTATATTGTGTTATATATTTAAATAGAAGTACGCTAACAACAATATTAATAGGCTGATGGAGAAGTCCGTCAAGAAAATGGAAATCAAGTAGATGAAGGTCACTGGAACCCAATAGATTGGGGTGATCGAGCGGCTGAAGACTTAACATGGGAACGTCTTTTGGGATTGGATGGGTCACTGGTATTTTTAGAACACGTGTTTTGGGTAGTATCCATGAACGCATTATTCATATTGGTATTTGCGTTCTGTCCGTATCAAATGGGTAATCTTGCAATCTCTGCAATGTCCCTACAAGAGAAGGTGGCTGCTTCACATTTTGAAGGATTGGTGACTACACTTTGTGGTTATTGTCTCATTGGCATGTGTTTGCTGATGATGCACACAATTGCAACTATTATTGGATTCAGGCGCTCTAAACGTATACTTGGACTAAGCTATATTGTTGTAAAAGTGAGATAAAATTATTTATTCAAATTTAGTATATAATTTATAATATAATTAATAATTAATTAAATATTTTATTATTACATTATTTTAAGGTATCCTTGTTATCTGTTGTCGAAATCGGTGTACTGCCTTTAGTGTGTGGATGGTGGTTGGATATATGTTCATTGTCAATGTTTGATGCCAGCTTTAAAGACAGGCTAACAAGTTTTCGTATGGCTCCTGGTACTTCTATGTTTATTCATTGGTTAGTCGGTATGGTTTATGTTTATTATTTTGCTTCATTTGTGTTGCTCCTTCGAGAAATTGTTCGACCTGGTGTCCTGTGGTTCTTGCGAAATTTAAATGATCCAGATTTCAGTCCTATACAAGTAATTAAATAATATATTTAATAATGACTGATTTCAATGTATAAAAAAAATAAATATTTTTCTTTATAGGAATTGATACAACAAGGTATGTTCCAACACGGACGGAGACTTATTGCATCGGCAATGATTTTTGGTACAGCTGTTTTTCTTGTCATTTGGTTGCCGATACGCATTCTTAAATTTATATGGCCTTCGTTTTTACCATACAATGTTACTCTGCACAGTGATTCTGTGAATGAATTATCTATGGAGTTGTTACTTCTCCAAGTCATATTGCCAGCATTATTGGAACAAACACACACTCGTAACTGGTTAAGATTAGGCATATATTTTTGGTGTTTCGCCGTTTCGTATTGTCTCGGATTAACATCTTATCTAATTGGAGACAGACGAGAACCACAACCTGATGTACCGCCTATACATCCGCCAGCAGCAGATTTGGGAGCAGCTCACGAAGGATTATTAAGACGTGGTGGCCCAGTTGGATTTCGACCATACTCTCGACCTGATAATTTTGTATTACGTCTGATAGTTTTATTAATAGTGATGGCTATATCAGTGGTATTTATCAGCTTATCAATAATTACGATACCTGTGTGGTTGGGTCGCTTAGCAATGTCTTTTTGGCCATCACTATTGCCTACTACCTCTGAACCATCACAAGCACCCAATATACACGAACTCTATACAGCAGCGTGTGGTACATACATATGTTGGTTGTCGGTGAGAGCTTACTTTTTTGTAGCAGGTTGGATGCCTGAAGGCCGTACAGTTGTTTTAAATCGTTTAAAGTTCTGGATCAAAGTTGGTTTAAAAGCTATAGTTGCATTTATCGTGCTGCTTGGCATAATACCATTTTTGTTTGGTCTACTGCTTGAACTCGTTATGGTCGTTCCATTCCGTGTTCCTCTGCACCATACACCAGTGCTTTGGGCATGGCAAGATTGGGCACTGGGTGTATTGTACATGAAAATCGCATGTGCCATTACTTTGATGGGACCTGATTGGAAACTGAGACGAGCCATAGAACGCACTTACAGAGATGGCTTCATGCGGTTGGATCTAAATGTAATGATGAACGACTTGGCCATTCCTGTAATTTCCGTTCTCAGTTTGTTTCTTGCCATACCATATGTAATAGCATATTCTTTAGTACCAATAGGAATCAATAACAAAATGCTGAGATTGTTAATTGCCAGACGAATATACCCGACTCTTATGGCATCAATAATTATCACTAAAGGTCTGTTAATGCAGGTGCGCCAGTTTAAAAGGCTTTATGAACACATTAAGAATGATAAATATTTAGTGGGCAGGAGACTTGTAAATTATAACCATACAACCCCGGTTACAGGCCGAAATTAATAAACTATTTAATTTGGTGTATTGTTTCAATTCTTTGATAATATTATTATTATTCTTATTTGTAAAAAAAATTGTGTAAAATATGTTTTTTTTAAAAACCTTTAATATATTTATATAATATATTATTATTTAAGGTAAATTAATGTATATTAAGTTATATTTACTCCTAAATAATCTATATTAATATTTAAATATTATTCAACTTTAAAAAAATAAAATAATTATAAAATTAATCAACTTTATATTGTATCTTAATGTAAAACATAATATGAAATATGCACACATTTGTTGATACATATATTACACACTTTCCGTTCCTTTAATACTCATTAATAAATAATCTAAAATATGAAAAATTATACTATAATATAAACAGACAGAAATATATAGGAAAAAGGAGGGATAGGGTTAGAAAGTTTTTCAAATTTCAGTTCAAAACACTGAAAGTTGAAAAATACATGAAATATTAATTCGAAATCCAAGTATTTAATTTTTTATTTATGAATCTCCTCTCCTCAACTTTTTTTCTGTGTACGTGCCTCAACATACTATCAATTATTAATGTCAAAAAAATGTATTTATATATAAATCTATAATGATTACAATTTAAAAATACTTGTTTAGTAAATATTAATATAATATAATACAAATATATAATTATAATTATAATTATCTCGATAATATCTTAAAATGTTTTAACTAAACATAGAATTACAGGAGAAAAAAAATCTAATTGTCTCTAATTAAAATAGCTTTCAGCATCAAACAATTTGTCTTCTTCATTAAATTCAATTTTACTCTGGTAAAGATTTGTATTGTTTGCTTAATGTTATTTAATTCATCCCAAGTAATTGTTAATGTTGGTTTGTTGTTAATAACAGAATAATGACTAGATTTATGTAACGCACCTGATTGATGTGAAAGCTGAAAAATAATTATTTTTATTAAAAAATCAAATTTAGCTGATTAACTAATCAACCACTTACAGTATTAACATAAACTCTAACATTAATATTCATTGTGAGAATTGTTGCTTCAAAATAATGTTCCTTTACTTCCATTACCGATGCATATTCTTCAAGGCCACCTAGTTTGCCAACCAAACAAGCAGCATATAATTCTGAACTGGCTTCTGATGCTTTTTTGGCGTTATTCTTTTTATCATTGCTGTTTGTAGCAATACTAAATTCACAGACAAAAAAATATATCAAATATATCATAATTGAAGAACATATTAACTATTTTACCTATCGATAACATCAGGTCTTTCATACTCCTTGATTGGCCGACCAGTTAACCACGATATAAGTAAACGATGTACAACTATGTCTGGATATCTACGAATAGGTGATGTAAAATGCGTATAATATGGTACATTCAGAGCATAGTGCGACATGTCAGCTTCTGGACAAATTACACAGTATTCGGCACGCTAATAAAATACAATATTAATAGTTATACTATTTTCGAAATATGAAGTTACATACTTTAGGTAGTAAAGTTTAAGTACATAGTTTGTTGGGTTTTAATTGGTTAATTTTTTTTTTTTTTACTTACAATCATGGGCTTGGATAAAATGTTATTTATGATAATATCCCGATGGAAATTCTCAGACTTTTCATCTTGGCAATAAAGAACTTTAGATTTATGAATAGAACCGGCTGATGACCCATCAATTTCAATGCCATAAGCCTTCAAGGTTTTTATCGCTTTTTCCATGTTAACATGGTCAGGCGATTGATGATTCCTGAGCATAGCTGTGGTTGGAAAATGTGTCTTTAAATGTTCAGCAACTAATGTATTGGCAAGAAGCATAAATTCTTCAATTAACCTGTAATATAGAATGAAAAATATTATTGTTACATTACTTTAGGTATATGAATTACTAACTGTTATTCCATAAGTAACAAATTTTTAAAGTTTTAAATAATTTGGATTTTAATTTTTTAAAAAAAAATCAGAGAACATTATTCTACTAAAATTGTGTACAAGTCTTAAATTTTAAATTAAACTAGACACGACATAGGTTCTGCATGAACTAAATTTGTTACAATGCTCTACAAATAAACATAAGTTGTTAATGAAAATCACTAAAAAAAAAAAAAGGAATTAATGTGCATGAAAAAAAGACATCAAACACATCCTTTCATTCAAAAAAACTCTGATAGAAAATAATCACATTTCTGAATTATGTGAATCATAATTCCATAATCCGTATTTAATATTTAACCAAAATATGTAAAAAATCAGATATTTTATCAAAGGTGTAATTGATAGATTATATTTTTACTAAAATTATAAGTGTTTAAATAAATTGATAAAAATGTACTTTTAACTAACCAATTACTTTCTTGAAGAATATATAACGTATATGACAATGGTTGGCATGTAGCTTTATCAATTTCAATAGCTAACTTTGGTTGGTTAATCGCTAGTGCACCATTATCAAAACGTCTTTTTCGCATTTTTGATGCAAGCTTGTGCAAGTGACATACAGCTGTTGCACAATCACTGATAGTATAACCATTATGTACTACAGGAAATTCAGACTCGTCCCAATTTTTTATTTCTGGATTTTCTAAAAAAATCTATTAAAAAAAATTTATCAAATAAAAACATTTGGTTTAGAAATTTAACTATAAAAAGTATACCTGTGCATGTGAATAATGAAGTTGAGCACAAGAATGTATTATAGATCGATTGAAAGAGTGGCTAATTATGTCAGCGTCTGGTGTCATTTCTAAAGTAACAGAAACAGCGAGTTTGTCAGTGCCTGGTAGCAATGATGCCATCATTGTTAAGGCAGGAGGTAGCATGTGATACACCTACAATTTAAAACATTATATAGCATAATAAAATACATAAATAGATTGATTATATTTTTTAAAAACTTACTCTTTGTACTAAATATACACTAGTGGCTAATTCCTTTGCAATTGTATCCAGTAGAGTGTTCTGCTTAACAAAATGAGATACGTCTGATATATGAATGCCGATTTTGTAGTTCCCATTTGGTAGCAATACACAAGAAAGCGCATCATCTAGATCTTTCGCAGTAGGTGGATCAATGGAAAAAATACAATCTTTTCTAAAAAAAAAAAATTCTATATTTATAATACGATTATGTAAACGAATAAAATACCTGAAGTCTTTTCTCTGTTTTAGTTCTTCTTCTACAGAAAATGGAGGAGGGAAATATTTATCGATATCTATTGGGTAAGGATCTTCTTGTATTTTATATGTGAATAACAAACCTTTAGTTTCAGCATTTATTTCTCCAGATTCACCTAAAACTCCTTTTAATATCCTAAAAGTAGGTTTATATGTAATAACAACAATACATATTTTTAATTACATTTATTAAAATGTACATACCCTAAAGGATTCTTGCAAGTGTCCCAACTCGGTAAAATAGCATAAAATATGTCTACTGATTCCTTTGTTCCTTCTCTCACCCTGATTGGAGTTGGCCATATTGATGTATTTACAAGTAATCTTGGTAATCGTTGGTCTCTGGGAACTAATGTACTATATTTATGATCATTGCCTCTTTCAATTAAAAGATGTCCAACAACAACACGACTCTCTTCTTTTTTTTTAGTAATATAAACTACTTCACCAGTGCGTTGACATTCCTCTGTATCTGGGTTCTGTAATCAATGTTATTTTAATATTTAATATTGCACATTTTGAAGTGAACAAATTATTGAAAACATACTCTCCATTCGGATTTGTCTAATATTTTCACAATAACTTTATCACCATCCAATGCTCGATTCCTTAATTTAATACCGTTTATTAAAATATCTTTCGACTTATCCTACAAAATATAATGGTATGGTTAGAAATATTATTAACAAATGTATAAACTTCTTTTTACTGGTGAAGGGACATATGCTTCAGCACTACATTTTTGGTTAATACGTATGGTTCCTTCAAATAATTCATTATTTGCTAAACCTTTTTTCACATCATCAAATGACATATATTTCGTATAAAAATTGTTATTATTCGCAAATGACCTTTAAAATAATAAACAATAATAATGATATGATTACTTTATATACATTTTTTTTTTCTTACTCCATGGGAGCACAATTATAAGTACTCATAAATTTTAACATTTTTAGTTTTTGTTTTTTATTTTTGTTTCTTCTTCTTGGTCTTCTTTCTACATGTGATTCTTCATCAAATTTTTCTTCTTGATTTATTAATTTATCATTTTCCTTGTTATTAGTATTACTTGGAGTAATTATTAATGTCTCTATTACTTGACCGGGATCACTAGAAAAAATACAAGACACCTAAATTAATGACAAACTAAAATTTAGATTATGCTAACTATCATTTGGTATATTTAAATGTACACTACTAATAGATATTGGGTATATTACTCTTAAAATTAATAATTAATATTAAAATATACAAGTGTCTCAGTTTTATTAATAAAACAGTTAGGTTATTAAGTCTGTATAATTATTTTAAATGACCACTTCTAATAGTTTATTTATTTATTATTAATGATTATTCTGGATAGATAATTGTATGATGTTAAAATAAATGTTTAAACAGTTCTGTGACTCATGAAATTAATTTAGTTGTTTACACAAAATTTTTCAATATAGTAAACAAATAAAAATACTATAAGCAAAATATTTCAATTCAATGTTTGTATATTTGAACATATTTGTTGATAATTTTTGCTTCTAAATTGTTATAAATTTTAGTGGTTATAAAATATAAAATATCTTTATTGATATAATAATGATATAACTATTGTTCTGCAAGTCAAATTGTTAATAAGGGAGTATTCAAATAGTTTATATGTATAAAATATTGATTGTACAATCGGTGTAGTGCAGCACGAACGGGTATTCGCATACACTAAACCAACGACATAAACTATTAAATATGCATCAAATGAAAATTTTATCGTAAATCTAAAAAAAATTACGAAATAAGAGGCATTACATATTAGCCCGTCCTCGTACCTTTGTTAGAGAAGTATAAAAAATGTATACCGGTAAATACATAAATATATTATACAATTGATATGAACACGTATGAATAAATTAATAAAATAACTTGTTTCAAATCAAATATTTGTATGATAATTCAAAATAATAATATACATAGTTCACTGGGAGGACAATGGAACGCTCATGCCTGCGCGACTGGCGACTGAACGGCGAGCGCTGATAGGTGCCGGGGATCCCTAAAGGGTGAAAAAAAAAAAAAATTGATCGGAAACAATCGTTCCGTATCGTCGTACGCCGACGTCACACAGTCCTGCTGTACGCTGTGCCCCGTGGTTGTCGTCATCCCCGCCGTATATACAGCGAGTCATAATATCTAAATACCTAACCCCAAATAAATATCATCGTAATATCCAAGAATAATATTTTACTGTCAAACCAATGGGAAACGTAGACAAATAACATTACTTAAAACGTAAATTGTAACGTTCATTCAAATCAAAACGGAGTGTTTGTGCGAGAAAATACGTGTACGCGGTGACTACAAATTATATAGACGCAACTGGACCACCAAATCTGGGGGGGGAGGGTGCTAAAATTACGAACACACAAAAGACCCACAAACCCCTTTACACGACAATAGTTAACGACGCCTTTCATTAATAATTTTGTAAACGCAAATAATTCGTTGTGACTATTTTAACATTATTTTCCGTACACACACGGTGCATTGTCTGTGGGAAACCCGTATGCCAGCGCGGTGTTCATATGAAATTCATGGACGAAATATTTATAGTCGTTCCTATGAAAAACCCGATTGAGTTTCTTGAGGGCGCTAAAGACCGCCCAGCAACACTCTGGTCGGGCCACAGGGCCGGTAAGGCCGTTAAAACAAAACGTTATCGTCGATATTTTGTTTACTACGTGTGTCGTATACCACTTGTATCATCGATCGGCGATCACCAGTAGTGCGAACGCATGCGCGTAAACGGATGCGATTTCGTCCGCCGCCGCCGTCCGGTTCCCGGTACCCGGCGCACTCGTAAGTCGAATAGTGTGTATCCGGCCATATTGAATTACGCGCGAGTACCTACATGCTCGTTATTAAACCAAACAAATAGCATACAGGCCTACATATTATATAATTTTATTGTATTTCGTTGGTTTCGAATTTTGTACTAACGTCATGTCTCCTTTTTCGTAAGCATTCCTGTTATCGGTCTTATCGTATTTGGTTTTAAGTACCCCCGCCGACTTTTCTAATGTAGTCGAATTGATTATCGTTTAACTCAGTTTCTACCCGAATGTTACTCAAAATGTCTACTGCATGGTGTGGATGGTAAAATATCGTGCATTAATATATTATCTTATAAAAAACCTTTACATACAAGTAATATGCATATTATATTTATCAATTATATACTATGTACTAAAGTGGGTTGCGTTTATATTTTTTAAATAATACATTTTTTTAGATTCTGGACCGGAGCGAGGAATGTATCGGTTTTGCAATGATATGTATTTATTTATTTTTTTTTTCGTCCGTGAACAACTTTTCTACCAGAAATCTCGCTCCGATTTACAAGTACATGCACCATTTCTAAAAAGAAATCTGATTGGGGAGGTACTTTATGAAGATCACGGTTTTGATTTTTCCCAATAGTACGCAATATTTTTTAAAAACGGGAAAATTAATGAAATGTATTAAATAAAAATATATTACAGTATTTTATTGTGCTCAGATTTATGATGATGCCACTTTATCTAAAAGGAAATCTGACTGGAGTGATAATTTAGGGAGTTCATTTTTTGATTTTCCCAAGAGTTTTCCCGATAAATGGGAAAATGTATATTAGTTATTAGGAATAGTTATAGGAAAATAGTTATTAATTAAAAAATATTGCAGATTTTTATTTCCATGTGAACAAATTTTCTACCAACAAATTAGATCTATACTTATAAATGAGAGTATGCGACTGAAAAAACTTCATGAATCATCCAGAAATGAAAAATAAACAAAAAAAAAAGAGTCATTGATATTATTGTGGGTCGTCAAAATTTTAATTATTTCCAAAATGGATCGTACTATTAAAAGTTTTGGAACCTCTGCTATATAGTGTACTTAACTCCTATAAACTATAGCGCCCAAACGTGTTGTAATATCAGAATAAAATAGTGCATAAACTAGTCACAATTTAAGTTAAAATGTCCAAATGTGTTATAGCCTTGTACAATATACTAATATAAATTAAAAATGTCTTTTTTTATCTTAGGCATTTGACCGCTAGGACCATCTTGTCATTCAATCATGTCTAGCTTCAAGTTTCTCTGTTTCTTTTTGTAGGATCCTCTTATCTCATACGTGGTTTTCTAAGTGGTCTTTTTCTAGCAGAATTTTCTTCCAGCACTATATGCACTAGTAAGTTTTGATAGTGGAACACATTTATTTATTAGTAATAAATATGTGAAACAAATTTAAAAAACTAACTTCGTACGGCATGTTTTGGAAAAAAATTGAAATCCCAGCCCTATTAATTACTATTATTGCCCAAGATTTGATAATTTTAATATCATCTTAATAAACATTTTAAATAAAACAAAAGATTTCTCATACACTCTCTAATAGTAAATGACTTTAGATATTTTGTTTGTATAGAAATTTATCTTTATAACTAAATTTACTATTCCTTTTTTTCCTAAAACAAGTAAACTATTGTATAACATATATACAGAATGTCCTAAGAAGATATATCCATTGCAATATTTCTGGATATAATAAGGATAATTAAATTCTTTTTTTTTAAACATTAATCGCAGGGATAAGACTAAAACTACTTATATTTCAACGCAATTCAATTAATTATTTGTGTTTTGGTAAAAACTTAAAAAATAACTTTATTTTATTATTTTAGAAAAATGTAAAGATAAAATTGTATACAGTTTATTCTTCTGAAAATGTTGACATAATATTAACGTTTTATTTTCATTAAATAATTTTTTAAATGTTGGAGAATAAAAGTGTACAGTTAGTTAACCATAATAATAATAATCAATGGAATAATATGATTATAGCCTACTGCATAGTTATAGGTACTTTTCTCTGAACTTTAAAAATTGTTAAAAATCAATAAAAAGTTGAAACTTCAAAATTTTCAGAAGAATAAACTATAAAATAGTTATTTTAAAATTTTCCAAAATAATAAAGTAAAGTTTTTAGTTTTTTTACCAAAACATAAAAATTGAATTCAAATATAAATAATTGTTTTTATCCCTGCGAGTGGTATAAAAAAATAGAAATTTGATTATTTTTATTATCTTGGGAAATAGGTATTACAATGGGTATATTATCTTTGTGATACAGCCTGAATTATAAATCTTGAAAACTAGAACTTTAAAAGATCATGCAAATATTTTTAGGGTAGTTACACACAGAATATAACTATTTAATAAACTTCCCTTTTCTCCTCAATTTTAACAAATTAGTTTATCCTTGTTAACCAATCTCTCTTTATTATTTAAAAAATACTTTATTTTATAGGTTGCAAATATATCTTAAATAATAATTTGAGTTAATACCAATAAAATATTGAACAACAAATGTATAATATTATAGGTAATGAAACATTAATATTAAATATTGATCAAATAATAGTATACATTTGTGGCAAATGATTTCTTCATCTAGATAAAATTTATTACATTAGGATCATTGGTTTTTATTTTGACATGCTATAGTATTGAACCTCAAAAATTGCATTACAGATCTGAATAATATATTATTTATCAGTGTGGTTTTATAGATTCATTTAATACATTTAAAATGTAATTAAACTATAGATAATTATTAAAAATGTTATATTAATTACAAAATATTTTTATATACTGAAATTAATATAAGAATTTTAAATAGGTTGAATTTCTTAAAAAGTACCATCAAATTAAGTATGCAAAACACACGTTTTGGAAAAAAAAAAATTCAAAAATAGTTTGGGAGATAAACTGCATTTATGCTATTTTGTTGAGTTATTTCTTACGTATTTGGTCGAATATCCTTATTGTGCAGATATCGTTTTACTGAAGTCGGAAGAGGAATTTGTACTTTCAAACTTGGACCAACAAATTTGAAATTCTCCAGTCTTCTCGAAAGCTCTTCCAATTGATCCATTGTTGGCACACTAAGTTAAAATTAAATTTTTTCAGAAAACTATTCACTGAAATACATAGATATCGATATTTGACCAAATTTAATATGGTCAATCGTTCTCAAATAATACAAGACGTATGTAGACGTACAAGTCTGATGTACCAACTAACAATGGAATTGTTGACAACTTTCAGTAATTCAGACAATTATTATTGGATCATTTTTTTTTTTTTAATTTAGTGGATATCAAATAAGGGTCATAGTTAATAAAAAGTTTATGTATGAACCACACGTATACGGATTGTAAACAAGATCTTGCTAACAACGTAAACATCGGCGTTCCAAGATAGTGAATGAAACTTTATCGTAGCAGCTGATGGCCTATCCCATAAAGACGTTTCGTATCCACTATCGCGGCTGTAAAACCGAATTGAAGCGAAAAAAGTACTAATTTTACAGTGTCACCGTTTATACGGACTAACATATTGTATTAAAATATTACTCTGGAAAAAAACTACATCAAAAAGCGATGACTGTATGTTGTTATAATATTATGCCAGAGAGTATTATATTTTTGCTTAGAAAATCAAAAAGTGATATTCTTACTTAATCACTAGATAAATTTTTTTTTTTTTTCAGAAAAGCTGGTTCTTTTGAATTTTTAAAATTTATGTGGCGTTTTTTAAAACTAGTTTTTTATTATCCCTGATGTTATTAAAAACTGGCGGGAAAATACGTTGATAAGTGATAAGTGTGATTGAATTGACATTTTTTTTTATATTTTAATATTGTTGTCATCCAATACTTAATAGACAATAATATCACTTGAAACTTTTAAACGTATTTTTATCTATGCAGTATGCTTTACAGCCAATAATCTATAATGTTGTTAATAATATAGTATTCTAGATTTTATTAATAATGTTGCATAATATTATTATTGTGGATATATTACAAATTTGAGTGTTGAAGGACGCGCGATGGCCTATAGATCGTCAAAAAGATTTTCAGATGATATTTTACTAGACACCAAAAAGAAGAAGAAAAAGATTTCAAATGAAAAATGTAATTTAATTAAGGATGATGTAACGGAAGAAAAAACTGCAATTGTCTGTGATGGGCACTCGCGTCAGAAAAAAGCATTTTTCGCCTATTTTGGTAAAACGTTGGATGATGGTAAGAAAAGTAGTGCTAATAGTAACAACAACGATACCAATGAAGCAAAATTAATGAATAAAAAACTAAATACATTAATCAATGATAGTGAAGTACAAATGGAAATTGACAAAAATAAGAAAAAACTCAATAGAAAAAAGAGTATTGAATTTAACTTCAACAAAGACTGTTTTATGAAGTAAGTATGTCTTATTTTGTTTATTTTATTCAAACTTTTGTCATTGTTTTGTATTGTTTACAGAGAAAACACTAATTTACCTTATGTCAGTAGTTTTTTTGAAGAATTAGGATATTTTCCAAAAATCTCTCATACAAACTGGTTGGCACCTTTCAAAAAGTCTGACCTTATGCTAAGTTTGAATGAAGAAATGTTATACAATGATGGCATTAAAAACTCTACAATTTTATTTCAATCATCAAGTTCTAAAACTGAAAGATTAGTATTAGAACCTCATCATATGGAAATTAATCTTCCTTACATGATTACATGTTTAAAAAAATCTGTAAGTATATCTGATTTTATTATTATAACAATAAGTAAGTTTAATAGTTCATTCTACAATTTATTTAATCATAGATGGTTTACAATCTATTTTCTAGTTGATTCAATTATTATCTTTTTATTTCAGTTTTAATAAAATAAATTATCACCAAAAGTTAAATATATATGTAATAATTAATAAACTTGCATATAAGTGTATTAAAAGTTTGTTTACATGTATGTAAATAATTATTCTTTTATATAATTTTAAGATAATACTTAATAAATTGATAAAATATGAAAAATAAAACACCATAGGTATTAATTTAACATATTGATTAGAAATGTATATCTTGTGCTATTTTTTAGACTCCAAATTTTCCCGTGTCACATTTTCATAAATACATGAAAAAAAAGTGTTTGTTAGCAAAACAATCTACAACTAATATTGAACCTTTGTGGATTGATAAATATAAGCCAATGTGTGAGGAAGAGGTGCTTGGTAATAGTGAACTTGTTAAACGTCTCAAAAAATGGCTGAAGCCCATTAAAGAAAAATCAAAAAAATGTTAGTTCTATTTAATAAAACAATACTACATATAACTTATATTCATTGTATTTTTAAGGTAAAACATATGATAGTGATGATAATTATGTCTTTGCAAGTGATGGTGATAGTGATTCAAATAGTAAAGTACAAGTACACCACAATTTAGCTATTTTACTTGGACCCAGTGGTTGTGGTAAAACAAGTGCAGTATATGCTGTAGCTAATGAACTTAACGCAAATGTAACTATTAGTTTTCTTTTTAAAATTATTCTTAAAAATAATTGTATTCTTTGGTATCTTTAATATAGGTAATAGAATTGAACGCTTCCTGTAATAGAAATGGTAAACGTATCATAACAGATTTAATGGAAGCTACACAATCTCATGCAGTAGAAAAAAATTGTCTATTTAATATGATAAAAGGTTTAGTTCACTTATATTTAATATTTAAAAATATGTTTACTTTTATTAAACAAACTATTTGCTCATTTACTAATCAATCACATTTTTAAAAATCTATAGTAAGTAATATTATAGCAAAATTTCTAATTTGTATTATTTTTTATAGAGAAAAGTAAAAAACATAAGAATTTAAAGGGAAAAAAAGAAATGAATGAAAAAATGACAATTATTTTAATTGAAGACGTAATGTAGATGTTACATATACAATTTTTATGGCTTATATATTATGTTAAAATTAAAATTGATTACCATTAATTTTAAAATTGATTTATATGTAGGCTGATATATTGTTTGAAAATCATGATGATGGATATCTTTCAGCAATATCAACTTTAGCTACTGATTCGAAAAGACCATTCATCTTAACAGCAAACGACTCTTTTAGTAACAATTTATTGAAATTTTTTGTATCCAGCAAAATGGTTCTTAATTTTGTGTATCCACCAAAACAACATTTGAGTAAGTATAATATAATTTAAATTGTTTTCATTACATCCTACTTATTCAATGATATATAAATTATATTACGTGTTATTGTCTAAGATTGTTTTCTACAGTTGATGGCTTTAAATGAAGGAGTCATTATGTCTGAAGATGAAATAAAAACTTTTATCCATCCATTGAAACCTGATGTGAGACAGAGTACACTACAATTACAATATATTTTGAATACTGGAGAGATAGCTAATGTAATATTTTTAACAATTATACATTAGAAACAAAATGTTTTTATCTTAACTAATTAATTTGGACTATTTATTCAGAGAACACTAAACAACACCTATATAAGATGCATAAACTCGGCCTGGTGGAATTGGCCTTATGTGTTGGGATATGATTCAATTAATATTGAAAATGATAAACAAGCTAAGTGTAACATAAATATGGCAACTATATGTGAAAACTTAGATGTTTTATCAAAACTAAATTTAATAAATGCAAAAACACAGGTTTGTGTAATTGTATGATTAAATTAAATGGCAGTATGTAAATTGAATATATCAAATTATAGTATTACAATATTCATATTTGATCACAAAATAAATTTTTTATTGTATTTGTATGTACATTAGAGTTGCAATTTCCTAGACCCGCAACCATTTTGGCATCACATTGCCATAAGGGACAGTTCTAGTTTGATTGAAACCAATCATTGGTCAGATAACACTGTTCAACTTTCGACTGACATATTTGACTGGATATATAATCATATTAATACACGAGATTATAATTGTGATAAATTGTACCCTACACCTGAGGATTTGAGGTACCAACAACAAAAAAAAGTAATGTAACTTATATTTATTGTTAACATAATTTATTATTTTTATAGTCACCGACAAAGGATGTGGAATATTTCCAATGATTTAGTAGAACAAATAGGCCTAGACTTTTGTAATCGTAAAAATGAAACTTGTTTTGATTATATGGCCACCATTCGTTCTTTAAGTAAGAATCAACAGGTAAATCAACCATTTTCAAATTTGAGGCAATCAAAAATGTTTTCATATTTGAGACGGATCAATATCGAGGTTGACAGCAATGAATTAAAACACTTTTGTGATTCCTTTCAATCCAATTCAAATTGTTATCAGCCAGTTAATCAATCTGATCAGTTATAAATGTTATAAATAAAATATTTTTTCTGGAAATTATTTGAAAATACCGAATTTTTATAATTTTTTAATTAGTAAATGATGTGTACTTATTTTTTGCAATAAAAAAAGTTAATGAACTTTTAATGCTTATTTTTTAAAACAGAATTTTTAAATTTAAACACCTTTTTTGTAATGAGCTTTTGTTATTGAATCTTTTATAAAGTTAAATGAGGTTTTAAGATAATAAATTACTATTAATACTTGTATTAACTTCTTATAGTCCTGGTTTTGAAATTGCAAATGTTGGCATCCCAATTCTTGAACTTTTATAGAGTTAATCAAAAAGTAAGTTGCATTGAGTCACATATTTTTTTATAAAAAAATATTTTCCAGTGAAATTTGATGGTTAAATTGGTTAAACAATTCACCAAAAATATTTATAGTGAAATTGAACTTAGTTGAAAATCGTATAAGTTATTATTGTACCATTATGAACACATTCATTGATCAGATTTTTATGGTTAAAAAGTTGTAGTCTATTATAAATTCAGGAGGTGTGTGAAGTGTATAACGAAAAAGTAATTTTAAGGCAGATAGTTGAGAAGTGGTAAGACAGAAATTAAGAAAGGTGATTAAGGACCAACAGCCCGGGAAATTGTGAAAAAACATTGTTTTTCTCCGTGATAATACAATTCCACATTTAACAAACATTACAAAGACATTTCTTTGGAAAATCAGTGGAAGTTTGGGAACATCCTCCTTACAATCCAAATTTGTTGCTCTATGACTAGTGTATTTGTGTATTTTTAAAAAAAAATTATTTTGAGTGAAAGTATTAAAAATGCATAAAGGAATTAGGGCCAAGACATTCTTCAATTCTACTTATTATATAGTTTTGTGTATTATAAATTATAAATACAAATATGGCACCTACTAATATAGGTACCTATTGTACTATTGTAATGTTATAATATGACATATTTATCTAAAGTCGTTTGTTCTCATTGACATAATAAGGCATAAGTCATAATATTATGCTTCTATTCTAAAACTCAGTCAATACTAACTTGAGACATGAGCTTAGTTCTTTGCTAATGCAGTTTGCATACCATAAAGGTATAAAATAAATATAGTATTTGATTAGTGTAAACACAGTTTATCACTGTTATCAATTTTCTGGTTCATTGTTATCTTAATTAACAAATGATACTGACTACCGGCTGTAATTGTTTTCATGAGTTTTCCTCGTTTATCGGGTAATGTTCATCTTTATAACATTAAATATCAACATTCGAATTTATACAACATCACGAGCTTATGATTGAAGTACCATTTTGACAAGAGCTCTTGCAGTAAACCTTTTTTACGACAAGATTGTTTCCGGTTCATTCAAACGATGGCAGCCACTAGGGGTGAAGTGCTCAAAATCTACAAAAATATGTTGAGGGAGAGTGGCAGATTTTCGTTTTACAATTATAGGTAAAACAAATTTTAATTTTCTACAATATGTCGTATTTTATGAACAACTGTATTTATAGAATGTATGCGCTTCGACGAGTGAAAGATGCATTTAGGCAGCACAAATCCATACACGAGCCATCAGAAATTCAACTACACCTTAAGGAGGCTAACAAATTTTTAAACATCATTAAACGACAAGTAATATTTTTTATAACCCAATTAGCCCTGGCTGTTTTCAAACAAATATTTTATTAAAATTACCTATAATATTTCCCTGTTTAAACATTGTAGATTTTAATTTTTTTAGCGAAAAACAATTAAATATTTTAAATTTTTATTAAATAAATAAAAATAATTAACATATATTTATGTTTTTAATGAGTCATTGTGATGTATGTTCATCCACAGTGCAATAGGTTCACTTTTGTGCACTGTAAATACATTAATAGTATAGGTATATATTACTCTAGTATATAATATATACTAATGCACTAAAATAAACAACATTTTTCTATTTAGTGATTTTATTTATTAGTTTTTATTTTATTTGCCAAGATTATTTAATGGTTAGTTTTGTTGTTAAAAATAAGTTCATAGGACATGTGGAACTAATTTTGGTATTAAAATATAACAATACATTTTAAAGCACCAAGTCCATTATTTTGTAAAAATAACATTTAATATTACTTTTTAATTGATATATTTTTTTTTCATAAACATATAGGTTCATTTTTTTATTTTTTTACCATTTAATTCATTTGACATATAAATGTTTTTTAATGACAATAGGATAATGTTACCTATATCAGATCTAATATTTGGTTAGTAACTTATTATACATAATATTTATTTATAACTTCTATTAAGTTGTAGTTTTGTTAATTACCTAGGACATTGAAAATAAAAAATATATATATACAGTGTAGTAGATTTAAACAATGCTGTTATTTATTATTTAAGTTATTATGAGTCTAATTTAAATTCACTAAAATAATAATCTTAAAGATACTACTAAGACAATTATAGTCATTTACAGATGAAAGTAATGAGGAGTACCAATGTAGTTTCATAAAAGGAAATCGCCAATAGAGCAGCTGTTGGTGATTGGACAGATTATAGAAAAAAAATTTTGAATACAAACAAAATATGTGGCTGGTATTTGTAGACTTAAAAAAGGCTTATGACAGCATCCATCAGGAAAGCCTTTATAATATAATGTATGAATTCTGAATTCCAAGTAAGCTCATTTTCTTGATAAAAGTGTGTATGAATGGCACAAAATACCAAGTAAAAGTCGACAACTTACTATCTGAAGAATTCCAAGTGATAACAGGCTTAAAGCAAGGTGACACTCTTTCATCACTTCTGATTAATATTGCACTGGAGAAAGTTGTAAAGAATATGCAAAGGGATAACTGTGGTATCGACGTCGGCACAATGAAGATTGGTATTTTAGGTTTTGCTGATGATTTTAATATAGTTGGTAATAATGGAAAGAGTGTGGTACAGAGCACTACAACTCTCATTAACAAAGCAAAAAACCATAGGGCAGAATATAAATGGTAATAAAACCAAAGTGATTGAGCTATTACCTGACAACAACCAGGTTGACAATATAGTGATTCAAAGGCATAAATTTGAAAAAGTACACCAATTTACATATCTGGGGCCTCTATCAGTGATATTAATAACTGGTCCATTAAATTAAATAGCCAAATCATTAAAGCAGAAAAAGCATCGTTTTCGTTAACTAAATATTTAAAATCTAAACTGTTTTCTAGTAGAACCAAAGTACATCTGTACGGTGATAATTATACCAACATTAACATATGGATGTGAGGTATGGCCTTTAACTAGCAGAATGAAACAAAAACTTATGGCGTTCGAAAATAAAATACTGAGAACCATCTGTGGCTCAATATGTGACAACAAACTAGGATGCTTGGACAGAAGAAGGAATAAAGAGATCCAAGATTTTATAGTGGTTTCAAGGATAACCAATTTTGTGAAAGTGCAAAAAAATAAAATAGTTTGAACATGTGATGAGAAGGCCCAACTCCTTAAAGCGGCGGTTGAGTGGAAACTCACAGGGAAGAGACCATGAGGACGTCCAAAAAAGCAATAGATAGATGTAATAAAGCAGGACTTAGAGAAACTAGAGATGCTGTACTGTGAAGAAAAGTACAAAATAGAGAAGAGTGAAAGGAATCGTTGGTGGTGGCAAAAACTCTTGAAGAGGTGATGCCAATGAAGAAGAAGAAAATAATAATTTCATTGATAATAGTATTTCTTAATTTATGTTTTTAAGAGTACCTTAGTTAAATTAGTATCTACTTACGTGATTAATAGTAACATATATATTTAATATCATTCATTATAAAATTATAAAAACACATTAGAAAAATAATTCCTGTATTATGTTGAATTGTTTGTTATTATTTACATGTGTGTACAATTTTTGTACACAATAATATGTTATGCGTTTATTTAGAATCAATCGCCTAAACACATTCTTAAAATAGTTTTATTTCTTCAACATAAAATCTAGTTGTGAGTCAAATGATCTGTTAAATCTTTTTCGTGTTTACTCTCAGAAAAAAATAATATTTAGAGTAAATTAGTAAGATATTATATTTACAATAACAATAATGTTATGAGATTAAAATAATTTTCATAATTTATCTGTCACTATTTTTCAATAATTAAGCTGTTAAAATTGGTTTTGGTTTTCTAATGTGATTATTTTTTTGCAGGTGATTGTTGGAGACTTGTACAAATTTGAAAAGTTAGTGATTGAAATGAAGAGTGATGACAAATAGTCATAGCCTATAATTTCTTCTGTATTCAGGGATAAGCTGGTCAGTGTTTTTGAATTTTTTGCTTGGGAAATTTTCCACCTACTGCATCCAAGAATGTTATTTAATTATTACTGTTCCTAATGTTTAAATACATATTGAAATGTTTAAAAACTAGTTGCAGCAATTAATGAATTTTTATGGAATCATGAATTGTAGTACATTTTATTTTTGTACGTTATCAAAACAATAAAAGAAAAATAGATAATAATAGGTATAAATATTTATTTTTATTATTTTATTATTGTTTTCTCTAATTATTAAAAATATTGTTGAAGTTGTTTAAATATATTATACGGTATTATTCTTACATGAGGTATTATAATTATATCATACCAAATTTCCTATTAATTTTTTAATGAATATTATTACTCAGAAATCATATTCATATAACTATAGAAATTATGAATACTGAATACTAAAATACAGGTTATAATCAATATTAAAATGTTAAATGGTACTATAATTATTAAATACTAATATATATTAAATGCTAAATAGATTTAATATTAAGGTATACTTACGTTATTATGTTGTATTTTAATTGTAACTATGAAAAATAACTGTTCTGAGCCCTTATTGTTAGGTGTGTACTCATTATAAATAAATAAATAAATAAATAAAAGTACTCATTACCATCAACTCAAATCTCAAAAGATTCAACAGTATAGTTAATTTTAAAATGAAAAACTAGAATCTAATTTAAAAAAAAAAGTAGTCAAATATCTATACCTATCATTGAAAATATATGTTTTATAAAAATTTACTAAATACCAAATTAGACATACTCGTATTGTATTTTATCGTGTAATACAATATATTATGTAACAATTACTTAGAAAATCTGTTTTGTTTTATAAAAAATGTTATTGTTGTTTAAATTAGTAGGAATTGATTCATTTGTTGATTCTGAGTAGAGCAAAAGGGCACTATAAGTTTTATAACAATACATGGTTTTCTTTTATCAGAATGGAAGTTTAATATTTTATTAGGATTTTACAACACTACGGTGTAACTCGCCAGTTTTCTTCAGATTTATAATATTTATAGGTACTTGACATCTTTTATTCATCATATGTCAAATTAACTACTGGGAATCTACCCAGTGGGGTATTTATGATTTCAAATTCAACATTTAAGCACAATGATTAGATTATTATTAGATATTACAATGGGTATTATTAGTTTTTTTTTTCTACCGTGTATTCGAAGGCGGTATTTAGGTAATTTGTATGGCATCGTAACTTTACATAGTGTTACGTATATAATAGGTATTTTAGGACATGTTTCTGTCGGCCGTATAATATAACGGCAACGGCGGGCACGACGCGATATTTCGTTGTTTTCTGTCATTAGGCACGGCCCGTTTGGCGACCCGTGCATGGGTCGGAGGAGAAAACGCGAACCCCCGAAACCTGTGTATATTACACACAATACGCAGGGACGCGAAAAGTCCGTGCGTCGGATAAAAATATATTATCATAATTATTATTATTATTATTATTATCATCGCGCCGTGCGCGTAACGGGATCCGATTTGACGGACCGGCGACCGCAATTACACCCCCCCCCGGTATATGTATAGTATAATATGCTTACAGATAGCGTGTCGTGTGTGAGTGTTGGGGTCGATTTTTAGCGTGTCGTATTTAATATAATAGCGGGTGCGGAGCCGCGCGTGTGTATCGTATATATTATTATTATTATTATAATACCCGCGTGTGGTCTTCCCCAGGGACGTTTAACGGGAGATCCGATAAAAATTCATGAGACGCCGCCGATACGACCGATCCGTTTAGCTGCGTTCGTCGCGTCGTCTGTGACGAACGGTGAGAGAGAGAGAAAAAATAAATATAGTCGCAGCGCGTCGTATCGACAGTGTACATTATTGTTGTGCCTACCGATAATATTTACGCGAAAATCGGTGTAGGTGTACGGCATTTTGGCCGTGAAATAATGTACAAGTCGCCTGCACCGGGCAGCTAATCGGCGTGTTCCTAGATACACCGGATCGTTCGGCTCCTGTATCGTGTATTATTGTTCCTGTGTTTTACTTTACAACGCTTGGACTCGGTATTGGCTGGCAGTGGTGCCGAACTTGGGGTAGTACAGGTCGGGCGATCGCACGACCAAAAGTTTTCGGTAGCGGGTGCGTGGGTGGTGCTAGTGGTGGGAAATACACGTATTACGTACGGTATGAATAGAATATTCGTAGAAAATCGAATTAGGTATAACAAATAGTACTATGAGTAATTTAATATTATATTATTACACCCAAAGAAGACCAATATAATACAGTATTGCCTTGTTTGCCCGAGTATTTTTAAAACTATTACGGTTGTTGGTATATTGTTGTTTGAGTTGGTTTCGACTACATAATTATCCGCGTTCTAATATATTGTTTTCTCTTTTGATATCGTTTGAAAAACCGTACGAGTCCAAAGGTGGACTGTAGGTGCGCCATGGGACGCCGGGAAATTTGCCGGGGGCCATTGCCTAATATGGCTGTTGGCCATGTGGCCAGTAATCGTTGGTGACAAAATTAAATAAAACCTAAATTGCAATAATCCAAATAGAAATTTAGAATACGTTTGTTTATGACGTTATTATTATAATCAATATAATATTGTGTTCATAACATTATTATGATGGGTACATGGACGGGAAATTGTGTTTACAGACAAAGATAATAATAGTATAATAAAATAAAAAATTAGTTGTCGTTAATGCTTATGCGTAGTTCTATGCGGAATCGGAATTTCGTTAATTAGTTAAATGAATAATAATACTCCGAAAATCCTCCGGTCATAAGTTAATTATTACGAAATTGTACATCTCGTTTAGAATGTAAAACATTAGCTAAGTTTTGGAATTTTTGTTTTTATTATTTTACCTAAAGCGAATAATATCTGATCGAGTGTCTAAAAATAGAATTGTCTAGGGTAAAATCTCGGGCGTTGATTGGTGGTCGACGAATTTCGGGCTAATCTTTGATGGCGAACCTTGCGTGGAATCACTCGGGGTTTTCGCGTGTACGATTTCCAAGAACAGAATATTTTAAAACGACGGTTTCTAAGACTAGATTATTAGATTTAGTTAGAGTCCCTTCACACGTAGCCACTTAACAGGTAGACTTCTTAATTATCATATCTAAAAATAGATTTCTCAGAAATAGTAAAGTGACAAAATATCGGAATCTATATAATGGAATATCTATATCTATGGAATCTATATAATTCAAAACAATTTTCGCTATCCACCAAAAATCAACTTGGGACTCACCGGTGGGTCGCGACCCACAGTTTGAGAAACGCTGTACTAGATAACTAACTTCTCGGAAGTATCCCGGGGTCATCGACCCTGACACGTTGGGCCTACAACGGGTTTACTCCATGACAGTATCCTACACCCGTTGCCGAGAACCGATCCACGTCAATGCAGACAAAAAGAAATCATTTTATCACTGTCCTAATAACTCGTACATTATGTAGGTAATCCATGGTGGTAAACGATGTATTGGTTTCGCCACAGGATAATAATACTCCTTAAATTTGTGAAAAATCATGGTACCAATACGAAAATGTCGTCTTTAAGTGGACGCTATATGTGTACATTTATAAATCATAACAAAATCGTGCCCTTCCCTTTTCAGTAAATCCACTTCGGCCAAAACAGTACTAAGTCACTAAGCATGTCATACATACTGAAAAGTATAAAATATTCAAAACGAAAGTTTAATTTATACATATAAAAAATATGTAATAGGCAACAGTATTTTTATGTTAACATGTCATATACATGCTTATAGTTTTAAACAATTTAATCAATTGTTATGAAGTTGCGATAAAGTCATGAAAACCTGTTGATATTTATTATTTTGGTATTCATATAAGTATCAGCTTTTATGCCCAACGAAAACTATAATTATACTGTTTAGCGAATACCGAAGGCTTTTGAAAACAAATAGGTACCTACGGTTTTTTCTGCATATAGATATTTTTATTCTCTTACATTATTATTATAAATTATTTTTCTCGCTGACAATCTTCCTCACCTATATATTTTTGGTTTGGCCGAAGAAAGAAGGGGGGAAGGGTACGATTTTGGTCCAAAACGGTCGTGTCCTTTTAAAATTATATATCATGGGTTTGTTTGTTCACGTATGTAGTTTTGAAAAAATCCAAAAAAAATAAAACTCAGAATTATTTGACCGTAAAAACGGGGCGGGCGTGATGTTCCGAAAAAATCGTCCAGCGTACACGTAACAATAATAATTATAATAAAAAAAACCATTATTATCGTCATTATCGTCGCATTCTCCTCGCCCGTTACGTATCGCGGGACTGACACGGCACGGCACATATTGCAGTATCGCGCACCCGGGAGCCGCCGATAGTATCGGCTCCGTCTTCGGCGTCCCCTCGCGGACCGCGGCCGCCACTGGCGGAGGGTCCGTCCGGCCGCGGCGCGTATGATATTTTTTTTTCATTACAAAATGATATACTCGCTTTCGGATATTATTATTATTATGTACGTATTAATGTCACGACACAATTTTCGGAGGGTAGATAACGGCAGAGTGCCGTTTTATACTTATATATTATGTACGGCGAGCGGGACATTTTTTTTATTCCCGCCCCATCCACAAAGGGAAGGCGTGTCCGGCTCGGAACGTTTAGCGGGGAAAAAAAAACCCGGAGATCGCGTAACTAATTTACGGTTTCATAAAGACGTCAATAATATTAATACCGAGCGGCATTTAGTCAGGGCGAATAAAGCCATCTGGACGGCGGGGAAAAAAAAAATCCGACCGCGACAAAACGGGCGCGCGGCAAGTGCGTCCCGCCGATACGATATTTGCGTTATAATATTATTATTAAACAGTAAATATTATACGACTAACGGCCACGGATTTGTCAGCATATCCTATACAACCCCGGGAGTATTCGACGATGTATATAGGTTAGGTTAGATTAGAGGTGGTCATGTGAAATATTCGTGCACAGTATGTAACCATTAACCACATCCTATATATACGCACTCTATCCGTTTATTTTGTATATTGCGAGCCATAGCCGAAACTAGATATTTCCATTAGCCTGGGTCATTCATGAGAGTCATTTTATACCTATCAATAGTAGGATTTTCAGATTTAAACTCAAATTTGCGTCTCCAATATTATTATTAGGTACTACCTATTAGTATGATAGGCTTATGATCATACCTAAAGTATAAATAGGGGGGGGGGGGGATAGGGAACACCAATGTTTTTTGTTATAATAAAAAGTTATAACAAGTAATTATTGATGACATACATCTAAAATTGTATAACTTGTTATTTAAACTGAAATCATACATGTGAAGATACTAAATACATTTTAATTTTTACCTTAAAGCTAATATTTATAAAGTTAAACGACGTACATATGGGACTATATGGGACCATTCTTTTAAATTCTTCAATCACAATATTAATTTCGATATTTTTTGCCATGGTTTGCTCAATGTATATGGGGAAGCATTAAATTGTCCAATCGTTCTTGAGTCATTGTCGTTCGTAGCTTAATTTTAAAATGAGTTAGCTTCGAAAAGCTCTTTCACATAAAACACTTGTGACAGGTATTATGGAGAAACCTTTTAAAGCTTTTCTGTATTGAAAAAAAAAATGGTCTTAATATCATTTTCTCTTAACCATTATTGGTAAGAATATCACCTAAATCTTTGTTTCCCGACACGGATTATGTAGGTATATTTATTTTATAAATGTAATAGGCAGGATTTATATTTGTAAATATAAACATTGTTTTAGCACATAATGGATAAATTATACCTAATACAATTAGACATAATCATTTATTTTCCACGTGAATGCCATTTATTCATGTTTGTTAACTATTTAATATTATAGCCTTTATTCAATACAAAAACAAAATTACTCTTTATCATTTCAGATTCGAATATTAATAACCAGGGCTAGGATTTATATGTAACAGAGTGCAACGGAAGAGTTGCAGATAAAGTTAAAAACAAAATATCTCCGGTTTTACAAAAAAATAATAGATTTAAAACTCTGCAGTCAATAAATAAAATTTTAAATGGCGAATCGGACGAGGACAATTTCAGTTATAATTTAAAACCAGGACAAATTTCTTTATTTAAATATGCGCTAACTACATCATGTGACGTTGAATGGAGCTTCAGTCAATATAAATCAATACTACGATCCAATCGCCGATCATTTATATTCGAAAATTTAAAAAAAATATGTTGTCGTAGCATGTAACACACGTATTTCCACTATTGAATGTGAATTATAAATTTTATTTCCAAATTATTTTATTGTATTTTATTTCTCAATAATGTTTTATTAAGACAAACAGCCAATCACTAATGTATTTCAATAAATAAATAATTGTTTTGTAACTATATTTTTGTGTTTATCTTATAAAAATTTAAATGCATATTTTTGCATATTTTGGTAAACAAAATGCGTATTTTACAATGTTTTATTGCATACAAATCCTAGCCCTGTTAATAACATTACCAACTGAAAAAACTATAGGTATGTCTATGACAATATATTTATTATTAATTATCATAATTCTCATAACTCGTAATTAAATGTATTGTTTCTTCCATGATCAATATTATAACATTGATTCCTGTTGGTGTACCATGCGCTCGAGGCTCATCTCAGTTTCAACAATTTAACAGTACAATCTTATTTTAGTCGTTGCAATTTAATATAGATTTTTCTTCTATACTGCCGGTTTCCTCGTCCTTCAATAACTAGTTTATATCTAATAATAGGAATATTATAAATTTGTTTACATTTTTTCTCTTAAGTTATATATCTAATAATGTCAATGGAAAACGAAGAAATGGAATGGGAACATGATGAATCAATAATTGTTTCATCTGTTACAGATGACAACAATACTTCTCGGCCTTCAAGTTATTTGTCATTGCTTACTTGTTGTAAGTTTGTGATTGAAATAAATCTTAATAATTAAGTATAACATGTATATAATTTGTTTTATGATAAATCTAATGCCTAACTTGCTGTGTCGATTATATTTTGTGTGAATTTGTTTGATTAATTTATAATCTCAATATTATATATCTGGCTTCTTACAGCATCATTATCATCAAGAACAGGAAATCCATCAAAAACAAGTTTTTTTTCTGTAATTGATTCAAATTATTCTTATGATACAGCAGTGGAAGTAAGATTTATTTTTAGTATTATTTAAATATAGGTACCTAATTTTGTTTTTGTATGTATTTAAATTGCCAATTGTTTTATTATTAATTATTTTTCTCATAAAGGTTATATTAAATGAATGGGTCAAGATATTTAATGAAAATCCTAAAAATGGTACAATTAAGTTATTTACTGTTGTAATTAAATGTTTTGATGTCAATGTTTATGACAGTGCATTTACTGATTTTAATTCTAGTGTAATGTATGCAAGATTGTTAAACTGTTTTAGGACACAAGTATGTTATTAAGAAGCAAATATTATTCACAATTAAGCATATTAAATTAAATTAAATTTTATAGGCAAATACTGGTTTATTGCTTACTCCAGAAACTATAAAAAGATCAACAGATATACAAACAACTTTGAATTTATTTACTTTAATTTATCGTTTTCATTACAATCTATTTTTTTCTAATGATACCCATAAGGAATATTTTATATTTTTAAGAACTATTCTTATTAAAATTTCTCAATGTGAATTTGTCGGACCTAGACTTCTAGCTACAAGTTTTGGTATAATAATAAATATCTTTAGCAATTATTATTTATTACAATGCTTATTATTTAGGTTTGAAAATAATAACTGGTTTGACACAGTCCAATAATTTAAAATTTGTACGTGATGAACTCAACATATTGTTGAAAGAGTTTTTTATAAAACGTTTGAAGTAAGTTATTATGGCAATGGCAGATGACTTAGTTTATATTAATTTGTTTTGTTTCATTTTTAGAGATACTAAAAGTATTTTACGAGAAACTGTATTGTTAGAATTGGGACTTTGGATACAGATTGATTCTAATTATTATCTTAATGAATTTTGGATGTACATTTATCTAGCATTAGGAGATCCAAGTACAAGTTTACAAAGTTTAGCTCTAAAGGTTTATATGTTATATTTTAAATTTAATTAAGTAATTTATTAGGTATGATTAATTATTTGATACAATTTAAAATGTATACAATTATCTATTAGTTAAATTTATATATCATATACCTAAGTTATATATTTCTTGTATTAATATTTTTTAGATATCCAAAAACGTATTAAATATGAATGATTATTTTCCTAATATAAACCTTTTTATTAAAGAAATAATTAATGTTCTTTGTAATCTGATGTTATCAAAACATGAAGAAGTGGCAATTTCTGCTATTGATTTATGCTCTGCATTACCAAGGTTTCTATTTGTCAAATAATGCATATTTTAAAAAAATATGTTAATTTTATTTTTAAAACAATTTTAGTGCAGATGTAGAAGACGAAGAACAATTTAATAAGATGAGGCATATCGAGTCAATAGCTCTAGAACTCATGTTTTCTAAAAATTTTAATATTGCACAATTTGCTGCTAAATGTTTTGTGAAAAAAATGGTTTATCCAGAAAAAAATTTATTTGAACAATTAAAAGTTATTTTAACTGTGGTACGTGGTATTCCTATACACGTGAGACCAATTGGATTTTCCTTTTTTGTAGATGCCATTTTTGATTTATGTCCTGTACTTATTAATTTTAAATTAATATCTCAAATATTAACTTTAAAAGATTATATTGATGATATAGATAGATGTAACCTTATGACTTTGTTAATGTATGCTGTTAAACAGCTAATTACTGGCATTAGGTCTGAGCATAAAATTGCTTGTATGGGAGACCATAATGATGTAAGTTTAATTCATTTTAATTCATATTTTTTATTAATGACTACTAAAAACAGACTAAATGTAATGTTTATTTAATTTGAATAATATATTTAAAGTAATTTTCAAGATATTATTTTATACAATGTAAAATAATATTGTTCTTAATCACAACCTATATTTGCTTGCAAATTAATTATAACTCAGAAATCGGAAATTCTATTGAATTTTGAATTTTGTATTAATTGTGTTTAACTTGAAATGATTTTGTTGGTTGGATTATGTTGAATTGACAATTTAAAATTATTGAAGTAAAATTAAGTTTTACCAAAATAAATCTCGACAAATTGTTTTTATCAAACATTATTCAAATTAAATGGAATTAAATAAGTATATTAGATGTTAACCATATTTTGTTATTGTAACACTCAACATGAGTACTAGTGCTAATATTCACTATTTATTACAACTTTGTATTGAATAAATGAGATTCCAGACAAAACATTTAAATATAATAATTGTCTCCGTGTATTTGGTTATTTTTAGACTTTACAATTACACATTAATACATCTAAAAAGAAAGAATTCACTACTTATGTAACTATGCATTTGTTAAATCAGTTTAAGCAATGTGAAGATCCTACACATGCATTTTCATTATGGGTTTTACTTCAATTCATTGATTTTAATATGCTTCAAGATAAAATGGTAGATAAAATAAAAAAATATTTTAAAATATCTATAATTTTTAATAATATTAATAATTATTAAGGTAGAGGACAAGATAAGTAATGACAATAAATAGTGATATAATTGGCAAATTAAGAATTTTAAGTACTTGGGATCGTTTGTACAAAAGAACAATGGCTTTGACGAGAATGTGAAACATAGGATTAAGTGTAGTCTGATAAAATTGAAAGAAACTTGAGGTGTTTTATGTTATAAGAAAATTTCATAGAGACTTAAAAGTAAGTTTACAAGAGTTTGGTCAGACCGACTATATTTTATGGTTCAGAGTATTAGGTGGTAGACAGGTAAATAAAACTGAATAAGTATAGATGAGCGGGAATGAGAATACTTAGGTAGATCACTGGAGTGACAAGAGAAAATAGGGTAAGAAAGAAGTATTTAAGAGGTAGTATAAGTATGACTTTGATAGTGAATAAAATGAGAGAATATAGATTGTTTGGGTATGTTATGAAGATAATCAAATTGGAAGCAATATAAATGGTCATGAAAATAAACATATGAAGAAAGGGGAAGAGAAAGACGGAAAGAGAGCTGGTTGGATGCAATTGAGAATGATTGAAGATGGCCTGTATATGCCAATACGATGTGGGAGATAGAGTTAAGTGAAATGTTTGGACAAGAGGGGTCAATCTCAAATAGTTGGTATGAAGGCAATTTAATTGAATTAGAAGTAAACTGATAATATATATATATAACTATTATAGTGTTAATCGGTGGTTCTTAAATTGTCTGAAACACTTATTGGTAATTCTGTCTGAAGTTTCTTAAAATGGTCCATGGGAGACTCAGTTTTATTGAAAACAATTAACATCAAAAGTTGCTTATTGCACCAAAGAATATACTTATAAAAGTTCGTGTGATACAGAAGTTTAAGAACTGCTATTGTAAATCCATACTATAATTTTCTCCTAATAATTTTTATTTTTCAAATAGATAACTCCTGATATATTTAAATATGCATCTTCATTTTATCATAATTGTAAAATTCCTACTATCTTGGAACAGATTTCAAAATGCTTACATATTATAATGTTTGATTTAAACAGTTATGAGCAAAACTTGTGTTTAAAATGTATTATAAATATTTCACAATTGAATATGAACATTTTAATTGCTGCAATTGAAAATTCATCTGAAACGGTAATTATTCTAAATACAATTCAAGTATTTATTCATAAACGAAAAAAAAGTTTTAAAAAATAAAAGTGTAAAAAGTAACAGTATTTGAGAATTATATTTAACTACTCATTACTTCTTATTAATCAGTAGAAATCTATTTAAATTATTATTAAGTTTTTTTTTTAACATTAATAATATTTAAATATAATTTGCAATATTATGTGCAAGAATTATGAATTGAATTAGAATGTTTACATCTTTTTTTTCAGGTTAGTATGTTTGATCAAGAAAATGCTCTTATTAAAATATGGTCTCTTGCAAAATATAATCTTATACCGGACGACTTAGAACCTTTGAAATATTTATCCTACTATGTGCCAAATTTAAATACCGCTCAAACCCATTTAATTGTTTCTGTATGTTTCAAATTTTAATATGTATATAATATTAATAATTTCTCATTGTAATAATATTAAATTTTTTTAGGAATATGGTTTAAGGGCATATATGGAAGTACTAAGAGCAAAATTAACAATGGCTAAAAATTTAGAAAATGATTTCTCCATAGATCAGTCATCTGAAAGTATTATAGAAAATACATTTGTCTCTTTTTTAAATGCCATGTTAAATATTCTACAGAATTATGATCCTCTAGTTATAAATATTTGTGAAACGGTAAAATTTTTTAAAAGTATTTTTATGTTTTGCAATATGTATAATATTTAATATATATTTATGTAAATTTTAGGCTTATTTGATTGTTGCTGATTTATTACGAATTAAATATAAGGTTGACAAAACTAGTTATGTACTTAATGATGACCAAACAAAGATGTTGGCTAATTTTATTTTTTCTATATGCAAAAACTGTGGTACTTATAATATGTGTATAATATACAAGGTGTTTCTACAAAGATATACTCAATGTGATATCTACGAATATATTAAAGATAATCAAATTCTGTTTTTTTTTAATATTACTCATTGCGATAAGAAATACAAATAAATACATATATATATTACAATTAATTTTTAATGTTTTGGTAAAAAACTTAAAAAAATTAATTTATAAGATAGCCATTTTATAGTTTATTTTTTTAAAACTTTGTGTATCAACTTTTTATTTTTATTAAATTTGTGATTTTTAAAATTTTTTTAAAGTTCAAAGAAAATTACTGATAATTATGCAGCATGTTGTGAATTAATTGAAATATAAATATTTGTGGTCCTTATACCAGTAATTTATAAAAAAAAAACTCAGAATTTGATTATATTTATTATCTCCAGAGATATTACAATGGATATATCTTTGTGGAACACTGTATTTAAATTATAAAAATATTAATTAATTGGTTTTTAAGTCTATTAAAGTTAGTTATACACATTTCTTCAATAAACTTCTCAGTTTGTGTTTTGTGGCGAATTTTGAAATGTCCATTACAGATAAGTAATAATATTATCAATTTTAATATATATTTTTTTTAATTTTCAGAAGATAATTGTGATTTGAATACATTAAAATTAATTGAAGTATATTTACAACTTGTACAGGACGGCCTTATTGATATAAACAATTTAATTACTCTATTACAATTCATAAAAATGGTACTCTATATTACATACCACAATATACCACAAAAGTCAAATTACTCATCTTATTACATTATTTATTAAAGGAATTTGTTGAACATGCACTTCGACCAATTTTTAATTTCTTTTGTAATAAAGAAACTGGAAATCAATTAAGCCGTGTAATCAATTTATATTTAGTGTACATGTTTGAAAATATTATTTCTCAAAAATCTGGATTTAAAAATTCTACCATTAAAGATTTAGTAAGTAAATTATCTTAATTAAACATTTTTTCTGTATGTCTTATTTGTTTAATTTTATTTATGGTCCACGTGAACTCTGGACAATGCATCTATTTTTAAGTTCTAGGAATATTATCATTTTAAGAATAAATTGTTCTATTATTCTTTTTTTATTACATAGCTATTCGTATTTTGTTTACTTAAAAATGAATTTAAAATTTTTACCTTCCTTAAAAGTACTAAATAAAATTTAGAATATTTTGGTACAAAATACTTAGGTACTTATAAATATTTAAATATTTTTCAAAGTATTTATAATCAAACTAAAATTTGTACAAGTTGGGTAGACAGAATGACAAAAGTTACTTCAAAATTTCTATTTTTATATCTATTAGTAATTACTTTATGTATTTTGTTATAAGATTAGTGTGGCTAAAATAATTTCTCAATTGTTGGGGCAATGTAAAGATTCAGTTGGAAAAAGATTAGTATCAACAAATATTCATCGACATGGTATTCAATATGCTATGAGTGATGTATTAAACTATCAATTTAGTGATTATCCATTCAAACTATTTTTTTGGGTTCTGGCATTCATGAGCAATACTTTAATCCCATTTGATGCTCAACGTTTGTAAGTTATTTATTAATTTATTATTTATATTTAATACTAATCATTTTCTATTTATAGTATCTTATGAATTAGTTTAATTTTTATTTTTTCATTACACTTTTTAATGTGAAAAACTTAATTTTTAATTAATTATAATTTATAAATTAATCATCACTATAAAATAATATTCTGTATAAAAAATAATTTTTTTTTTAGAGCTGATTTTTTTCTTAAGAAACCAGTTGTACAAGAATTAATAACAATTGGAAATGATCATGTATTGAGATATTTGTATAAATTACAGGAAATATGTAAAAATGAAACCAATTCATTTCCTGGTAAGTTAGAAATATAAATTGTTTATTAAGAAGGTACATAGCTATTGTATGTATATTATTCTGAAATGATCTATTGAACTGTAAATAATTATTGTTGGTAGATAGCTAATTATATTATATTAGTATTGTCTATAATGCCATATAAAAGCTAATATCTATTTATATTTAGTGAACAGTGGTGTGTCAAGGATTTTTTTGTGGAGGGAGTTGTGATAATAGTAATAACAATTATTAATATTGTTTCACTTCAATATAAACCACGACTCAAAGTACAAACAGTTTTAAGAGTTTAATAACATTAAATTATATTTGAAACAAAATATTAGAAAATAATAAACAAAGTACATTATAGTTATTGAAATATATGAATAGGCCGATTATAGGAATAGTTTGACATACATAGTGACAAAAAGAAAATTCTAGAGATACTAGATACTAAGATAATTGTAAACAAAAAGTTTGTTTATTTTAAGAATGTAGTTAAAACTGGAGTATACAAAATCCAAATGTATAGAAAATGGTCGGCTATTTTCTAATGGTTCGGCTCATTATTTTTTTTACTCGCAACACTATTCAGTTTAACTGTGTTTGGGATGGACTGACTAAACTATTTTTCCTAACAAAATTACAAAAACCTATTGATGGGTTAGCACAAAAAGTTACCTTATTAAATTAATAAAATTATGTAGCATTTTTAAGTATTTAGATTTAGACAGTAAAAGAGAAAACTTTGATAATTGATTATATTATGCGTACTCTTAAAGCTCTTATACATTTTATATTTTAATCAATTTAATCAATGGGTATGTCCAATTTTAACATACACATTAAAGATTATTATTTTTATCTAATTAGGTACTAATAATATGAATTAATGTTGTTGTGTAAAAAGTAACCCTTTTTGTTTTTATATTGTTTTAGATGGAGCGGCTTAAAAATGTTAATTGTTTAATTAACTTTTAACATTTTTCATTTATTAATATACCTATTTATTTACTTTACCTTGTTTACACTATTAATATTTATACTTTATACATATAATATGCAATATGCACTGTTACTTCAATATCTATTTTAAGTCTTACCATATTTTATGTACTTATACTAAATAGACTCTTTTCTTGTCATAGAATATATTTGTATAAATTCTTTAATCTTAATAATGTTCTTTGGTTATTATAATTCTAATGTCAGTTTGTGCTTAATTTAAGAATTTACTAATATTAACAAAAGATCTACTCAATTTTTAAAGTAAAACAAATAATATATATTTATATATATATATAATTGTCAAATTGAATTTACCTAAGTTTGTACATTTCTAACAACTTCCTCTGTACCAAATGAATTCAAATTCAGGAACTAGCCATATTTTATATGTGGATTGAACTATTGAAGTAATAAAAGTTGGGTTGAATTTTAATAAGAATTTAACTTTTTTGTGGAAGGAGAGTGCTTTTAGCTTTATAAATCCCAATATCTTTATCGGCCTGTTAATATAATATAGGCTTTAATATAGTACCTATAGGTTGTAGGTACACATTAATATATTATATGAAAATATGTTTTTAAACTATGTTATCTATGAGTTCATACACCTTGCGTGAACTCAATAAGTATGGAGATTGTGGTGTAGATATAGGTATAATATGAAATTTCACAATATAAGGTAAGCAGGTATATTGACGAACTTCATAATATTATAATAATGACACAATTTTTTTTTCATTACTATTTAAATGTTTAATTAATGTGATTTTTAATCATTTACATGCAGTAGTGCACATGTATGTTATAAGAGGTAGGTTCAAGAGTAACACGTCTACACATGTATTTTATTTATTGGCATGTTGGCTTTATGTATGCGTAGATAACTAATAATAATATTAGATCCGTGAACCTTATAATCTACCAACATGATGTTTAGTTCCCCAACGCACCAACTAGATCAAAAATGATACAAGACAATTTCTATACAATTTCTGAGTAAGATTTTTGGTAGAAAAGTTGTTTATAGACACACAAATCACATTATCATAAAAATGATATATTCCTCGTTTCGCCCAAAATCTAAAATAGGTACCTACCTACATTTAAAAACAGCATAATTGTACGTTTATTTCATTGACGACCATTAATAATTTTGTTTATCATTTATAATTTTGCCGGACATTAGTCGTCACAAGGCATTTTGTACAGATATTGAGGTATCAAATATACTTTAAAAATTATATATATGTAAAAATATATCGTATAGCTATAACAATGTTATTGAACATTATTCCGTTGACTGATGTTTCCTTTGGACAATCGAATAACTGTCAGGCGTCAGCAACTGCCATGTGATATGGATAAATTCGAATAATTGTTTTTATATTTCAATATTGTGTTGTACGAGGACTATACGTATATAAGGATATTTTGTTTATAATATTTATTTTTGTGAATCTCCAAGAATGGAAGTTTTTAATTTCATTTTGACCACGGTCTAATGGAACGGCGCAATTGCGAGACGAAAAGAAATATAAACCGAGAATGCTCGAATTTTCCTCCTTGTTACATTTTCATATATTATATTATTCTCTTGTATTTTTATTTTTCCCCACTGTAGTTGATTAAATTTGTATTTATCCCTCCGTGGTTGCAATTGTGCGAAAGTCAAGCGGGGGTGGGTGGTAGGGAAAAAAGAAGAAAAATATCAAAAATTAGATCCCCTTGATATAAACCCCGTTAAGGAGGAAGCTTGTCTCTTTCCCAAGGGGTATTAACACCCCACGTGAAATATAATAACCCCGTTCGTTTGTCAATGAATATATTATTTAATGTTTAACCAAGAAGTTACTATTATTAAATAAATTTGTGCGGTCAATATAATATATGTATTTCTATAAACGGGTCGTTGGTAAAATTACAAGTTCGTTAGGTTAGGTTGGTACAGTTGAATTAGAAGTCCGGAGAAATCCGTTACCAATAATTCATAATAATAATAAAAAGAATGGTAATCAATGTATTAATTTAAAATAAGGTTAGGTTAGTAGATTGAAAGAATTATTTAAAGGATTTAATATCCTCAATATAAATCATCTATATCCGGAAAAAATTACTAGATACCTAAAAAAAAACAATCAATTATACCTTATAAACCATAACGTCAATATGCATTTAATAATTTTTCTACAGACTGAGTAAAAAAATGCCGCTTAGAAGTATTCGATTTTCTAGGGATTCTAATTTATAAAAAGTTTTAGAATAATGGAGATGGGTGCACTGGGATCCACTGTTATGGGTAATTTAATATATATTTGTAAGCAACGATAAACCATTGCTAAGGAAAAACGATTCTGAGCGGAGTTCAGTTGATAGTGATGCGTTGTCAACAGTATATATATGCCATATTATAGTAAAATAATTAAATAGGCTTTATATATCATCTTTAATGATATTTGTTTAATGTATCGATTTTCCTGTTTTTCCTCCGTTTATTTTTTTCGGTTTTTCACATTTGTTGAGTAAACTCTTGGGAAATTTGAAAAATGTCCTCTCTAAAGTATCTCCATAGTCAGATTTACTTTTAGAAAAAGTGCTATTATTATAAATCGCAGCAAAATTGCTGGTAGTGGTAGAAAAGTTGTGAACAGAAAAAAAAAATCTTAATCAATATTTTAGTAATATATTTTGTACATTTTCCTTTTTTTTTTTTTGGTTTTTCATATTTTATGAGAAAGCTCTTGGGAAAATCGAAAAATGATCTATATTAAGTACTTTTTCACACCGATTTCCTTACAGAAAAAGTGCTATATTTAAAAATCGGAGCAAGATTCTTGGTAGAAAAGTTGTGCGTAGATAAAAAAAAAAATAAACATCTGTAAAACCATAAGCTTTTCGCTCCATTCAGAATCTGAAATACAATGTCGCGTGCTTTTTTTAATATGCTATAACTCTTGTTAAAAAAGTACATTTCTCACTGGATTCAATATGATCACGATACTTAAAACTTAAAATATATATACAATGGTTAAATACCAGTAGCTGCAATTAATAGGTATTAAGTAATTTTATCATCTGATTAAATTACTTAATATTAATTGCCTGTCTATGTTCCAATTGCTTCGAAGAATATATATATGGCAGCCAAAAAAACAAGTGGCTGTAAGGTTAAAAAAAACAAATTAAATTAATTTTTCATAAAAACAATAATAGATGTTAATACATAATAAATAATTGTCAAATATTTGAATGTATGCGAAGTAAATAAATGTATAGTAAATTTAAAAAAAATAATAATGTATCAATAAGTAGGTAATAGTTATTGTATAAAAAGCATCTCATAATTTATTATCAAAAAAATAATAAATAATGTGTATGTGTATTTAAAAAGTTCGTTTCTTCGTCTTTTTGATTATCCTACAAGGCTCTGGTCCCGAGACAGGTTAATTAATGTACTTTATAAGAATGTTTTTATAAGCAGATATAACGCTGGGCCCTACATACAACACACGAGTTCCTTTCAGTGATGCCCAATAACTATTTGATTTTTCTATTCTTCTTTTCCTTTGTCTTTATCCTAACTATTCGGAGCCCGCCACCCTCCTTCTAAACTTCCACTTGACCTGATCTCCCACCTCGCATACGCCGGTTATCTTCATACCATTCTCAATTGAATTCAACCATCTCTTTCGGTCTTCTTCCTCTCCATCTCTTCTATGTTTATTTTCATTAAAGTTTTTATTGTTTCAGACTCCTTTTCTTCCGTGACATTTTGCCACGCATAAGTTATGTGGGTATACTTATCCCTTATCGTATTTTCTCTCTGTCTCTCATCACTCCATTCATCCACCTAAGTGTGCTCATCTCTGTTATGCTCATTCTCTGTTCTGTTTTTCTATATATCGTCAAGCCCAAATTAAAGGGGGGGGGGGCAGGAATGACCATGGTCTTTGTGCCACCAGACTTCCAGTGCTTCAGTTTTTGCCACAGAAAAATGTTTATATATGCATTTAACCATTTACTTTATACTTTGATATTTTAATATTTTTTCGTTTCCTATTTATAACTTATTCTTATTTTCAAGCACGTATACAAAAAAAAAGGGGAGGGGGTTCATAAAAAATCATAATTAATATTATCAATATTTTAAAAAAATATTAAATGTATATAAATAAATTACATTATTATTCATTTTCTTCCTTGTATACGTGCTTGCGTATTATTCTATAGTTGATACTACTATTGTAATTTTGTGAAAAATAATATATTTGTTTATTTGAATAATATTTGTGGTTTTTGAATTGAGATCTTTATATTATGATGTCTATACTATTTAGTATTTTTCTTCTGTTAAAACATTGATAAACATTTAAAAAAAAAAATTATATTATTAATCTTTCAACGAAAGTCTCGTTGAAAAGTTTGTTTCCGGGTCCTATACATGTTTTAATTCGAGCTTGTCTACCCCGCCCAACACGTCGAATCGTACAACATTATAGCCCTGCAGTAACCATTCGGTAAATAAAATAAATGAAAAATCTACAGATTTGAATAGAATGCGTTGATTATAACGTATAATTATGTATAAAATATTAGTTAGGTATATTTTATTATATTATTAAATATCACTGGACAACAATTTAACGATCCGGCGCGTAGACGGCTGACAGTGTGCGGTATAAGCTTTTCGCGTTTTCGGGTCGTACATCACATGCATCCTTTACCGCCACATGAATCCCACCACCTATATGGTCGTTACCGGTAACTATACTTGCGGTACACTGCAATATAGACTGTAGGTATAGTGAAACGAATGTAGACTCATGCACGGCGAATGATCAAAGGGCGCGCCAACCGAAAGTTCAAACGTTCGTCGCTGACGCCCGCACTGTCCGTGACGGGCCTTTGTCGGAGGATAAACGTCGTCGTCCTTTACCGTCGAAATTGT